TATTAGAATCAACCGTTGGTGGTGCACCCTATCCCTTTGCTCTTGCCTACTTGTACTTCCAACTCTATAGTGAACCCCTCTTCTTTGCTCAACCTTCTCGACATTCATGCAAGCCCCCATACCCTAGTCTCCTAAGTCCTCTCCTAATCTAACATGGTATTGAGCTACTAAGCTCCTCGGACCTAAATGGGCCCACCCGTTCATTCTCTCATGGCTTCCCCGTCGCGCCTCTCTCGTTTCGCCCCCCGTCGCGCGTCAGTCTCTGAACCTGTCGCGACGGTCGCAACGGTCATGGCGGCGAACTGTGCGTGCCCCCCCGTCACGCTCGCCGCGGACCCCCATCGCGGCTCCCTGCCGCGCCTCTGGTGCGGCATCCCGTCGCGCCCTGCGCGACCTCTGTCGCGGCTCCCCGTTCCCCCCACCCATGCTCCCGCCAGCGCCAGCCGCGCTAGCGACTGCTGCCGTGTTAGCGCGAGGTGGTGGGGGTGGCGGCCAGTGGGGAGACACGGGGGTGGAGGTGGAGGTGGCGGGCTGTGGGGGGGAGGGTAAGGGGGTGGCGAGAAGGATTCTGCAAACTCAACCGCCGCCCCTCTCCCCCCCTCTCTCCCTTCCGCGGATGCAGCCGTGGGGGGGAAGGGTGAGTGGGTGGCGGGAGGGGGAGGGTGAAGGGGTGACGAGCATACCCAGAGCCGCCGCCAATCATCCTCCTCCTCTCCTCTCCTCTCCTCTCCTCCTCTCCTCTCCTCCAGCCGCCTCCTCCTCTCTCCTCTCCTCTCCTCCAGCCGCATCTCCTCCTCCTCTCCTCTCCTCCAGCCGCATCTCCTCCTCCTCTCCTCTCCTCCAGCCGCATCTCCTCCTCCTATCTCCTCTCTTCCAGCCGCCTCTCCTCTGCTCTCCTCCTGTGCACCACCAGCAGCTTCCTCCTCACCAACAGTTGTGTTTGCTCGTAGATGGCGAGCGACCAGCATCCTTCGCCCTCCGGCTATCCCAGCCCTCCTCCGCGCTCTCCGCGCCCTCCTCCGTTCTGGCTTTCACAGGTGCTGCCGGTCAGCCACCGCTGTTTCTGTGCCTATCCCAGCTACAGCAACCACTCTCCAGGCGACCTGGTGCCAGACACCACTAGCTAAAGCCGTAGGCAGTTACGGGGGTGTGTTGAATTATATATCTTATAACTGTCTACAGCTTGCTAGTGTATTAGTTAGCTATTAGAATCAACCGTTGGTGGTGCACCCTATCCCTTTGCTCTTGCCTACTTGTACTTCCAACTCTATAGTGAACCCCTCTTCTTTGCTCAACCTTCTCGACATTCATGCAAGCCCCCATACCCTAGTCTCCTAAGTCCTCTCCTAATCTAACAAGTACCGTATAATGCACCAAAATGTTTCAGAGGCTGGTTTCAAGTCTGGTTGGCACTGCTGGGCCGGCTGGCAAGTCACTCATTCCAGACTCACTCTTGCGTGTGAACTGCTCATACAGTACAGTGACACTGTAAAAGGTTTTAGCCAGGAAGGAAGGAGCCATAGCTCTCCAAAAAAAAAACTGTACACGAGTAGGTATACTAAGGGTCCTAGCCACACACACAGAGTCCCCCATACGGTGATTGACGCACATGGTGCAACTACAGTATAAGGAAGACAGCCCTGCATGATCTCCGGTCAACCCTGGTCACATGGGTGCAACCAGTACCGGATCAAGATGGGAATAGCCGGAACTTGCTGCCGAGTGTGCAGCTGTAAAAACTGGAAGTGAAACATGAAAGCAAGCAAGCAGGCAAGCACCTAGTAAGCGAGCATCACTGAAGGAGTGATGATTGCAGAGTGTAGTATCCCCGCCCTGGACATAGGGATCAGCGCTAGCTAGTGACCCAAGCAGGGACAACAGCCAACAGCAGAGCACCCATCTGGGCCATCCATTCACCCAACCATTTGACCATGCATTCATCGGTCCCACCATCTGCTTCTTCTCTCTCTCTCTCTTGTCATCCCCGTGATGTGGTGGCTGTGGTGCTCATTCCCATAGGAGCAGTCGGCCCGTTGCTGTCCATCTGTGGGCACATCCTCCCCACCTGCCTCTGAAGGGATTCAGAGCGGTTCAAAGGCACGGATAGACAGCGGGTTTAGCAGAGAGAAGGGTAAGGACAAGGAGAGGCGATACGACAGAGACAAGATTCTGCTGGAGATTGAATTCACAGGGATACAAGTTGAGGTAGGAGAGGCGAGGAGAGGCGAGGAGAGATGAGGAAAGGTGAGGAGTGGTGAGGGGAGGTGGTAATGGTGGTACCATTGGATGCGTGACCCCTGAGAGCTGCTGTGAGACGGGCGACATCATCATGTCCGTGGGGCTGCGATACCTGCCATGCCACACACAGACACACACACACACACACACACACACACACACACACACACACACACACACACACACACACACACACACACACACACACACACACACACACACACACACACACACACACACACACACACACACACACACACACACACACACACACACACACACACACACACACACACACACACACACACACACACACACACACACACACACACACACACACACACACACACACACACACACACACACACACACACACACACACACACACACACACACACACACACACACACACACACACACACACACACACACACACACACACACACACACACACACACACACACACACACACACACACACACACACACACACACACACACACACACACACACACACACACACACACACACACACACACACACACACACACACACACACACACACACACACACACACACACACACACACACACACACACACACACACACACACACACACACACACACACAGCAGACAGACACACGGACACGCACACACCCACGCAGACACACACACACACACACACACACACACACACACACACACACACACACACACACACACACACACACACACACACACACACACACACACACACACACACACACACACACACACACACACACACACACACACACACACACACACACAGCAGACAGACACACGGACACGCACACACCCACGCAGACACACACGTGTACAGAACGAGAGTGAGGAGTGAATAGTGGTGACTGAAGAGTGCGGAGTGAAGAGTGGGGAGTGAGGAGTAAGGAGTGAGATGAGGCGAACCAGTGGAGCAGGTAAATATCAGGACAAGACAAGAGCACGCCTCCCTCGAACAAGCAAGGCGGGCACATGCAGGCACGCGCGTGTCACGGCACTCACTGCTTATCGACACCACGCAGCAGCTGCCAGGCGGGCTTCTTGAGCAGGCGAGGCAGAGGGTTCGACACGGGCACGCCCCGCCGCTCCTGCAGGCTGCTGAGGCGCTGGCGACTCGCCATGCCCGGGCTGAGCGGCGAGATGGGGCTCACGGGGCTGAACGGGCCGCCGGGGCTGATGGGACTCACGCCCACGCCCGCGTTGTCCACGGACCCGCTCGTCGCGAGTACCAGGCGCGGAGTGCTCATGTCGCAGCGGACGGCGCGGGGAGGCGCGGAAGGGGCGCGGGAGGCGCGGAGGCGGAGCGGGATGTGGGGGCGGCCGGGAGGAGTGAGGTCACGCGGAGGGAGGAGAGGGGGTAGGATTCGGTGAAAGGAGTGAAGAACGAGGGCGGTGCTGCCACGGGGAAAGGTGAGGGTAGTCGGAGACTGGTCGGAGGCGACTGTGACGGAGGTGGGAGGCAGTTGGACGGCAACTGGGAGAGCGGCGAGGAGAGCGGGTCTACGGACTGATGTCGCGGAGGGCTAAGAAGGCGGAGATTCACAGTCGTATGGAGGTATTGTCGCACGCGGTGGCTCTTCAGCTCGCAGCTCGCAGTCGCAGTGACAGTCGCAGTGGCAGTCGCAGAGGCAGCACGGCACGGCTTGCAACACAGATTGCCGAATTCGCTCTCAATCGCTACGTGTGTGGGAGGATGGGTTGGTGAGCGTGGGAGTAAAGTAAGAATAGAGAGAATCTACTCGCAGCACGAGGACGATAAGGCCCGCTCTTTCGACGCCTCAAGGTAGCGGTGGGGCTTTATGATGGGAAAACGTCCGATGGCCGTGATGCGTGATGAGTGATGAGTGACGAGTGATGAGTGCTTTGTGCTGGTGGGACGCAACGGACGGCGGAGAAGGGAGCGAGAAAGGGAAAGCGTAAAGTGCGATCGGGGACGGTGAGACGAGACACACAGAAATGATCCAGCCGAAAGTGCTCGTGCAAATGGTTGCAGAGAAGCGCGATGCGGCGCGGTGAGCATATGGCTGTGAGTCTATTCCATCTTCCAAAGCTCGTCAGCAGAAAGTCTACCTCCAGCGGGCGTCACGGCTGGCGAATCGCGTGACGCCTCGTGACGAGTCAGTTGCACTGGTAAGGCTCTCATCGCATCCTCTTCTGGAGAGCGTCGGGGGTGTGGTCTGGTGACTGGTCGGTCGTGCCTGCAGACAGTTCGTGGTGGTTTCAAGCGTTTAGACGGTTCACGCGATGGCCCTCGCACCGCCCTCTTGCACCTCGTGCGGTTGCCATGTCCGCCAGCAGCGACGGTTGATGCATTGCTGGAGGTACCGGAATTCTCGTTATCAGATTGGCCGGTTTCAAGGATTTCTTAGAATTCAACTGTACTAGCTAGCTTACATAGAATTCAACTGTAGTAGCTAGCTTATGTAAGCAATGACGCAAACGGTCCCTTCATGACCATTAGGCAGATATAGACAGACTCATGTATGTATTATTTTAGACGCAGATATGTATGTATTAGGTTGATATCAGATATGACACATTAAACGCAGATTTCGGTTATTGATACAGGGTCATCCAAATTTATAATTGATACATCCGAAACTGTGTCTAGTTTATCGTTAAGATCAATCCCAGGTCTCAAACTTCATGCAGAAGTGTAGACTGTTAGTAGAACTCATGAGCTTCATTGACCCTCGTCCATACGGCTGTGCTTCAGGAAGATGAGTGGCGCCTGCATGCCTAGTTGGTTGGAGGGTGGACTGGACATCCCCAACGAAGGGGTGTGGTTCCAAAGCCGTAGCAGTGCTGGCAGAGCGTGGATCCACTTCGCTCCACGTGTGTGAGATAATCGACTCGCAGGTGTGCAGTTACAACAGGCAGATGCCACAGTTGCAGCATGTCGCAGGTTGGCTTCTGTTGGTGCTGGGAAGGGAGAAAAAGCGGTGGTAGTTGTGATCTGCGACCCGACTGGCAGCGCTCAAGCAGTTGATCTGACCCTAACCATTTCGTAGACTCCGATAGGGCTAGGGGTTTTCGAGACTCGCATGCCGTAGTTGGATGTTGGAAGTTTTGCCGTCCACTTGTGCAGTAACTTCCAAGGAGGCAATGGAGGCCACAGAATCTCAAGATTGTAGAGGGATTGCCCCCACTTCGGGCAGCCCTCGCCCGTGGTCGGCGCATCATTTATTTGTTGAACAGTACACGTTTCAAACAAATCACGCGCAATTGCCGAGCTCAATGCACCACTGTGTTGGTCATTTGACTGCAAGGAAACAGTGAGAAGTTTGTGAAGGGGGTCGAAGGTCCTCTGTTTCGCTCGTCTTGGCGCGAAGTCCCTCACAGACCGCAGGTGGGCTTGCTCCCCAAAATTTTGCTCCTGACTGTTGCTTCGTCCAGACTTTCCTGGCCTGCTGGCATAACCCCAATAAATCATACCTGTTCCCATGTAGCTCACGACACGACTGAAGTACAAATTAGAGTACGCAACTCCTGGACTTACGAGAACCAAAACTGGTTCGTAGCAGCTTGAAGTACGTCCTGCATACTATGAAACTCTGTTTGCAAACACTGCTTCAGAGAAACAACCCCAACACGCAACGCATCCACCACACAGGCCACGTCCGCTTTCTCTCCGTTCGTCTGCTCTCCCTTCTGTCCGCTCCGCTTCACCAAGTGCCCCCTCTCGACTTAGCTGTCCGCTGCATCCACAGCAACAAAACCCCTACAGCTGGAACGGAGACCTACCAGAAAGTTGAGTTAAGTTTTCACCCGTGTAGACTGGTTTACCGAGACACATCACACAGCTGAACTAAGAGGTGTGGTCTTGCTACTAGTCACCACCCAAGATTATCTTAGCGACGAACACTAGGCCGCGCTGCTGAGCGACTTTTGGGGAATTTTCGGCAAGATGGGGGCGACAACTTCCAGTTTCGCCTTGTATTCCACCGACGAGAAAGCCCTTGATAGCTCACTTGATGATTCCCCAGCCCCGCCAGCTGTTCCTGAGTCGGTACCTATCGACAGCCGACGATGCACTAGCACAAGCAGCACCAGCACTAGCAGCAGCAGCAGCGCCAGCGATGGCGGCGGCGACAGGTTTTGTAGCAGAATCGACTGCGGTAGCAGCAGCAGCTGCTGCAGCACAGCATCTAGCTATCGCGAGGCGAGGCCAGAAACGCACGATAGCGAGGGGCCCAGCAGGAAACGAACAACCATCGAAAGCCTACCGGTACGCAGCTCTCCACCCGCTCCTCCAATTGACCCCCGTTACTCGCCTCCTTCGTGCGAAGCTAAATTGTCTGCCCACCATACCTTTCCCACTCCCCTCTTCTCTGTGCTCCCGTCGGCCCCTCCCCCACGTCACTCTCTCTCCCCTCCATGGCCGTCGCATGACAGGACGAGGTGTTGATAAAGGTCTTGGCAGCCGTCAATTCCACCGCGTCCTCTCCGCTCGACGTCGTCCTTCCATCCATGATGTAAGCGCCCGACCGTTCGCCCGCTCGCTCACCCACCCGCCCGCCCGCCCGCCCGCCTGTCTCCCCTCTCGAGCTTCTCCTTGACTGCTTGCCTCTCCGCGTCCTGCCTACCCGTACCGTCCATTCGCGTCCAGCCTCTGCTTACCTCTCCTTACTCCTCTTCCTATTCGTCCGTCCCCTCTTTCCCTTTCTATTCGCCCCCGTCGCCTCCTCGTCGCGCAGCAATCGGCGGTGGCGGCGGGCCAGCAGAGACCGCGAGGCGCTGAAGCGCGCGTGCAGAGGGGGAGTGGCGGTGCGCGCGCGGCAGTGGTGCGAGGGCGCGTACATGTTCCTGCGACGGCTCTGCGAAAACGGCTGCCTCGAAGCCGCCTTCATGCTCGCCATGGTCAGCCCCTCCACCTCTGCCGCCCCGGCCCACCCACACCTCCCCTCTCTTCCCATCCTTGCTTCTCGACCTCTCACCTCCCCCTCCTCTCCTCCCCATTCCCTTCCCACCGTTTCTTCTCGCACCCCTTCTTCTCCTTCCCCACCCACCCAACCCCTCCCCTCACCCCCCCCCCCCACCTTCCCCTCCCTTTGCTCCCACGGCTTCCCCTTTCAATCCGCCTCCACCCTCTCGCTGTTCATCCTTCCTAGTCCGGCTTGCCTCCTTATGCTTTTGCGAATTCCCCCCTTGCCCTTTGCTTTGATTCTGCTGTTTCCGCCCTGCCTTATTATTCCGTCCACTCATTCTCGCCTCTCCTCGTGCGAATCCCTCGTCTCGTCCGCCGCAGATTCTATTCTACTGCATACCCGGAGCGCAATTCGAGGGCGGCCGGCTGCTCATGCACTCGGCGCGCGAGGGTCACGCAGCGTCGCTCTACACGGCCAGCGTTCTCAGCTTCAACGGCAGCGCGCTCGGCGCGCAACACAAGGACGCGCGGATGGGGGTCGCGTTGTGCGCGCGAGCCGCGGCGCTGGGGCACACGGAGGCGATGCGCGAGCTGGGGCATTGTCTAATCGACGGGTACGGCGTGCAACGCGATGCGCAAGAAGGCTGGCGGATGCTGCTTGAGGCGCAAGCGGCGGAACTCGCGCCGCAGGCGTATCTGCGCTCGCTGCTCTCTGCCATGTCCCCCTCCCCCACGACCGATTGCGCAACCCCCAGCGCTTGCGACAACTCGTTCGCTTCCGCCGCTGCTTACCGCGCGTGTAACTCGAGCCCGTACGGCAACACGATGCCGCTCACGCCCGCGGAGCAGGAAGCCGCGGTGCAACTGCTGCTCGCGCGCGACTGGCGGACCGCCCCCTCCACCCCCATCCGCGCGGACTCTTCTTCCGCCTGCTCCTCCTCCGCGTCTGGCGCCGTGGCTTGCTGCGACGACGACATGGCCGGCGACGAGGCGGCGGAGTCTAGCGACGGCGCGTTTCTCTCGGCCGCGGGGCTGTCGCCGCGCTCCCCGTCGAGCGTGCTCGCGATGCACTCGCACTCCCCGCGGTCCCCCGCGAATAAGCCCACGTGGCAATCGCAGAAGCCCCTCGCTGCATCCGCCACCACCACAACCACCACCACGCCCCCCACCACCCCCATCCGCGCCCCCACCCCCACCACCAGCCTGGGCAACAAGCAAGCCGTGGTGGAGAAGCTTCTAGCGGGGCTCGCGTCGGGTTCGTTCCGCCTGACTGACGCGCACGTGGCTGCGCTCGAGCCCGCGCTCGCCGCCCTCCAGACATCCCTCCGCCCCGCACCCGTCCACCCCGCGCACGCGTTCGTGCGCGAGTGGCGCGCGCTCAAAGGCCTTTCCGCGGACTCGGCGGAAGAGAGCCTCTCGTCCGCTTCAGCAGCAGATGCGGCGGAACAAGCGCAAGGAGGCGATGCGCGCGCGGGGGTGTGCAGCCGCGCGTCGTGCGGTCGCCCGGAGACGCGCGCGTTTGAGTTTTGGCGGTGCTCTACGTGCTGGCGCGTGCGGTACTGCAGCCGGTCGTGCCAGGTGCACGACTGGAGGGAGTCGCATGCGCGCACTTGCGCTGCCGGCGCCGGCGCTGGCGCGCCCACTCATGCTCATGCGCACGGCCCCGCGCGTGGAGATGTGTCCGCACACAGGTCGTTGCATGGCACTGGCGTGCTTTGATTTGGCACCATGCATGCATAATTTTCTCTCTCCATTGGTGGGAGGAGGACCTGTTGCATTTTACGTGACCTACTCTCAATGCGGAAGCGGACAGCCGATGTTGATCTCGGTTCATTTGTTTGTTGGATTGAACTGATTATTCTTGTATAAACTATCGGTACTTTATTCTACTTGTTAGCATGAAACTCAGGCCCAAGAATGTGGGAAATGTGTAAAGAGCTTGTCCATTATGACACTGTTTAGGGTGTTGCGGACTAGAATGGTCTGACTGGTAAGGATGGAAGAATGGCAATAATGTTGAATTATATTGCATATCTTATAACTGCCTACAGCTAGCTAGTGTACTAGTTTAGTTATTAGCATCAACTGTTGGTGGTGTACCCTCTCTTTTCCTTGCCTATATCCTTGTACTGTTTCTCACTATTGAACCTCTTTGGCCAACCCAAACTCCCTCGATATCCATCTCGCTATGCTACTCTCTCCCTCCAAGCTCCTAATCTCCTAAGTACTATTTGACATGCTATCAGAGCCCGTGTTTCGGTCCTAGGCCCTCGCTCAAATTTGAACCATGGGAGCTTTCCCTCACGCTCGTTTGCAGCTGCTGGCGGCCTGCAAGGCGACCGCCGCGACGAGCAGGGAGACGGTCGCGAAATGCAGCGCGAGTACTGCAGCAGCTGCGCGATCGCCGTTCGTCGCGGCCGCCTCGTCTCGCCCCATCGCCCCGCCCCTTCGTCGCCACGTCGCCCCACTGCTGCGCCTCTGCCGCCCCCCCGTTCGCCCCCCGTGCGCTTCCGCACCCGTCCCGCCCCTGCACGTATGCGGGGGCGGTAGCTATAACGTGGAGGATGGGGGAAGGGAGTGGCGGGCCGACGGCAGCAGTCGCCCGCGTCAGCGCCAACGAAGTTCGTTGGCGCCCCCGACATCTCCATCCTGCTCCCCGCCCTCCCCTCTGCCGCGCACTGCAACGGCAGAGACTTGGGGAGGGGGTTGGCGGGATTGGCAGGCGAGGCTCCGGGGGTACTAAAGCCCCCCTTGAACCCCCCTATCCTCCTCCTCCTCGCTGCACCGTATCTGCTGGGCGTGCCGCGTTGGGGGGGGGGAGAAGGGATGTGGGGGTGGCGGGTTTGACAAGGCAGCCCCAGCCGCACCTCCTCCCTCTACCTTCCGCTGCACCATCTCCTCCTCCTCTCTCCTCCCTCCAGCCGCATCTCCTCCTCCTCTCTCCTCCCTCCAGCTGCATCTCCTCCTCCTCTCTCCCCCCTCCAGCCGCATCTCCTCCTCCTATCTCCTCTCCTCCAGCCGCATCTCCTCCTGTGCACCACCACCAGTTTCCTCCTCCTCACCAACAGTTGTGTTTGCTCGTAGATGGCGAGCGACCAGCATCCTTCGCCCTCCGGCTATCCCAGCCCTCCTCCGCGCTCTCCGCGCCCACCTCCGTTCTGGCGTTCACAGGTGCTGCCGGTCAGCCACCGCTGTTTCTGTGCCTATCCCAGCTACAGCAACCGCTCTCCAGGCGACCTGGTGCCAGACACCACTAGCTACAGCCGTAGGCAGTTACGGGGGTGTGTTGAATTATATTGCATATCTTATAACTGCCTACAGCTAGCTAGTGTACTAGTTTAGTTATTAGCATCAACTGTTGGTGGTGTACCCTCTCTTTTCCTTGCCTATATCCTTGTACTGTTTCTCATTATTGAACCTCTTTGGCCAACCCAAACTCCCTCGATATCCATCTCGCTATGCTACTCTCTCCCTCCAAGCTCCTAATCTCCTAAGTACTATTTGACAAATAACAAAATGATTTTTTTTTCTAAAAGTGTGTATTTTGAAAGCGAAGCTGCTTGTAATGCAGCAACGGCAACGGCGAAGTGCTAGACGCTCTTTGCCAACTATATAGCAGGGGGTGGAGGCCATTTGGCCTCCACCCACGTCTTCGTTTGAAATTTCAAGTGTCTTATGTAGGTACCATATATATCCCGGACGAGAATGATGTAATGCCTATTTGAAACGAAGCTCGTTGCCATTGCAAACACAAGAAAGCAAGCTTTCTAAATATACGGTACTGTATTCTCCCGGATAAAACACCCTAGGGTGTTATGAAAACCACTGGGAAAAAATGGGGGGGGTCTCCTCAAAGGAAAATCCTACATAATACCCGGGTCTTATTATATGGTATATTTTTTATCAAGTAGAAAAGATGTGAAACAAAATCAGGGGCCTGACTCCACTTCAAGATTGTTGACCAGTGCCGCAAAACCGAGTATACGACGATAACGTGACCGCCCACTGGAATCTGCCACGTGGCAAAGTCGAGTGGGCAATTCTGGCACTTGATAGGGTGAAAACAAAGCCAATTGCGTGGCGAGGGTTCATGCAACCGCCGAGGCCAGAATCGCGCACGGTGGTGCGTTCTTTACTGTACCAGTCACTTCTTGACTGGTTTGGTCACGTATCTGTGCCTCATGTGAGAAGGTGATTTTCACCTATTGGGCCACTTGCAGCGGAAGATTCGCCAGCGTGGCGACAGCGAGATTGTGGGAGGGGGGAAATCTTGGCAGATTCTAAGTGAAAGTACACGCGAAATTTCACCTAGGGAGCAATTCTCGCGATATCGTCCCGTAAGGAATCAGACTCGATAACAGCTATAATATGAATCTATAAGAAAAGGGGGGTGTTATAGAAAATCACCCCAAAAGGGGGGGTATAGTACAAACGGGGTCGGATATAACACCCACCCCGTATTAGCTACCCGGGGGTGTACAATTACGGGGGGGTGTTTTATCCGGGAGAATACGGTATGTTAAAGCCCAAGTACAGCATGGTAATTTTCAAGTTCAAGATTCTTGAACTTGAAATCGCCAAAAACAGGGTTACCCTACCTGTTTTGAAGAAACTCTCGCGACCCCAGGCAATCGTCCTGCGACAACGGAACCCGAGTGCCCAAAAACAGAACTGACGCGATGATCGCCAACCATATGCACTGTTCACCATTCACATAACTTGAACACCAAGTAGTACTCATAGACTAGGAGGCTCCAGGCAAAAACTAGCTCCGGTAGGCAAAAGCGAGTCGTTGAAAGGGTTTTTTTTTTTGTGGGAAATATAAAGTAGGTATCCACCTCAACCATCTTAATCACCGCACGCTCCGATCTCCCCCTCACGTCGGCAGTCTCGAGTAACAACCCGTTCACCGCGGCACTTACGTTAGTGAACGATCTTCGTGCATTCAATCTCGCGTTGCACTTGCTGCGAATCAGCCTCGTGTCACGATCGTACCGTTTAAGGTTCAGGTGATTCACGCTGCCGTTACTTGCGTATGTTCCCCCTCGTCGGCCGCTCTTTCCCACGTCATACCGCTTTCCTTGTCGCCCGCGCTTTCCCTCATCACCCTCGCCGACCCTTGCCGCCCTCGCCTCTTGTTGTCGCCCGCGCTTCCCGTCGTCGCTCTCGCTTCCCCGTCACCCGCGCTTCCCGTCGTCGCTCTCGCTTCCCCTTCACCCGCGCTTCCCGTCGTCGCTTTCGCTTCCCCGTCACCCGCGCTTCCCGTCGTCGCTCTCGCTTCCCCTTCACCCGCGCTTCCCGTCGTCGCTCACGCTTCCCCGTCACCCGCGCTTCCCGTCGTCGCTCTCGCTTCCTCGTCACCCACGCTTCCCCTCGTCGCTCTCGCTTCCCCGTCACCCGCGCTTCCCGTCGTCGCTCTCGCTTCCCCGTCACCCACGCTTCCCCTCGTCGCTCTCGCTTCCCCGTCACCCGCGCTTCCCCTCGTCAATGGCGCTTTCCCTCATTCTCTCCGCTAGTCACCCAAGCTTCTTCTCATCTCTCTCTCTTCTCCTCAACGTCCTCGTTTCCCTCGTCGCCATAGCACCCTCTCCCCGTCGCCCTCGCCTCCCCACATACCCGCCTCCATCTCCCCCACCATACACCCGCCTTCCTCCACAGAACGCCCTCAGTGGGAGGGACAGAGGGGGATGGCCCTCGTCACGCGCGCTTCTCCTCGTCACATGCTTCTCCCCTCGTCATGCGCTCTTCCCCTCTCGTCTCTTCCCCTTGTCATTTCTCTTTTCCTCACTCTCTTCCACGCTCTCTCCATATCTCCCTCTCCCATTCTCTCACTGTCTCGCCCTCTCCCGCTCTATATCTTCCTCCCTCTCTTGCTCGATCCTATTTTCGCTCTCTCCCTCTCTCCCTCTTCGGGCCTCATTTATTGGGAGGGACGGAAGGGGTGGGACAGAAGACGGGGTTCAGATGGGGAGGGGGGAGTGTCAATGGGGTAGGGACAGTTGGGGAGGGACATAGGGGGGAACAGTGCCTCACGCTTTTAGGTCAGTTGCAATCACCTCCCCTCCCATCCCCCTCGTTGCCTGGCCTGCCTCTCTCATACTTCCACCCTCTCTCTTGTTTACACCCCCTCCCATTCTTTCCCCCCCACATACCCGCCCTCCTTCCTCCCACATACCCCCCCTCTTTTCCCTTACATACCCGCCCTCCTTCCCCCCACATACCCGCCCTCCTTCCCCCCACATACCCGCCCCCCTTCCCGAAAACGGAAGCGACAGCGGGAGGGACAGAGGGAGAGGGACAGAGGGACAGAGACAGAGGGGAGGGACAGAAAGGGGGGGGTCCGAGGGGGAGAGACAGAGAGGAGGGGACAGAGGGGGAGGGACCGAGTGGAAGGGATTGAGGGGGAGAGCCAGAGATGGAGAAAAGAGGTGGGGAGGGTTTGCTTCCCTCACTTCCCCTTGTCAGAATCCCAGAATCCCAACCACTAGACCATTGGGATAAAATGGCTTGTTTGTGTAGCGGGTAAGTGCGCCCATAACCCCCCAGGCCAACATGCCTGTAACCCTTCCCTAGGATCAATCGGGGATCACCAGTAGACCTCTGACACCCCTCCTAGTCGCCCTCACTTCCTCTCCCCTCCTCTTCGCCTTCACTTCCTCTCCCCGTCGCCCTAACCTCCTCTCCCCGTCGTTTGGGTTGTTCATGGTTCCCCCTCCACTCCTGTCACTAATGCTGCCTTCCCATCGCCATATGCCCTGCTTCCCCCCGTCATAGCACCTGCTTCCCCCCGCCATATGCCTGCCCTGCTTCCCCCCGCCATATGCCCTGCTTCCCCCCGCCATATGCCCTGCTTCCCGCCGTCATGGGCACTGCTTTCCCCCATCATATGCCATGCACCAACAGCTGCATCCAATGCGATGCCCTTTTTCTCATTCCCTTCCTGCTCGTGCCTCTGCTTTCTTCACCCTCGCTTTCCCCATAAAAGCCTTACGTGGACGACTTAGAAGAAGCCTTACAGATGGACGATAGCAAGGTATAGGACCTGGGTATATCTACTGTATTTATTGATTTGTATTTTTTTCTACTGACAATTGGCATAAAATATGTTTATGTTTCCTGACGTTACAGCACTTCGGTTTTGTTGTCTAGAAGTGAAGTCTCACAAACGACCAAGCATAAGACAATTTGTTCATATAGGATTTGAATGTACTGCCTCAGTGGAGTCGCGCAAGAGTTTGGTGTGCACAGTGCACCCCAGTTCAGCCTCACGAGTGTTAGCACTGGAATTGGTGGGGCGACACCACAGCAGTGATGTCGCACACTGGATCGTTCGCCCCACCCTGATTCTCGGAAACAGTAATTGCACAGTACCGGTAGCATGGCGAACCCAATTTCTCATCGCCTCTTGAATACGCTTTCGCTCCGCACAGATTCTCGAAATTCTTGTTATAAAGGTTTCGCCAACACTATTTCAACCTCACATAACTTGAATAATTACCATGCTGACCTCGGGCTTTAAGCTTCCTTGTACGCTGCATACAATAAACCAGCAACCCATCATCAAGATTCTTGATTCAAGAATCAATTCACAGTAACAATAAGCTCCCAACATTGTGGGGCAATGAACACAACCATACTGAAATGTACGCTACATTCAACACTACCTTGTGATTTACAGGGAATTACAGGGTGGTGGTCATATAGAGGTAGTGAGTTCGTACTCCAAACAAAAATTCTTAAAAGTGGTGCCGGTTAGAAGAGGTGATAATTACAAGCGGTGCTGGTGATTAAAACCTGTGCTGTTATTAATACAAGCGGTGCTAGTTATTACAAGCCGTGCTGTTACGGTACATCCAGCGGTGCTAGCTAATTACAGGTGGCGTGGGAATGGGCGCCCAGCAGGCCAGTGGGACATGGCTGTGCTGCTGCCTCTGCAGTCAGTTGAGCCAGCTGCACCTGTGGTGTGGTGGTGAGGGGAGAAGGGAGGGAGGAGAGGGGAGAGGGCAGAGGGGAGAGGGGAGAGGTAAGAGGGGGGATTGTAGAAGACACAGGAAAGAGGGAGAGCATGGTTACAGAGCTGACGTGCAATCCACATAGCACAGTGGATAAAGAATGCAAGGCACGGCATGGCATGTAGGTACTGTAAGGCGCTGAGAGCAAGTCGTGAGGCACAGGGGAGAGTGAAGGAGGGAGGGAGGGAAGGAGGGAGGGAGGGAAGGAGGGAGGGAGGGAGGGAGGGAGGGAGGGAGGGAGGGAGGGAGGGAGGGAGGGAGGGAGGGAGGGAGGGAGGGGCATTGCACCGTACCTCAAGAGGCACCGTGGGTCGTGAGGCTGTGCTGCTGCGCTGGAAAAAGGTCGACACACCCATGCCCATGCCCACGCCCATGGCCACAGCAGCTGCATGCTCGCTCCACGCACCACTCATGCTGCCACCACGCACGCCCCCACCCACGCCAGCACCCATGCCTCTTCCTCCCTTGCCGTCTGCCATACCCACTGAACCTATGCCACCACCACCACCAGCCATCCTCTCTGGAACCATTCTCCCTGTTGCTGCCCCTGCCTCTCCCGCTGCTCCTCCCGCTCCTCCTGCGCCTACAGCGACAGGAAGTGCCAATTTAGCACCTACACTTGCCTGTCGGAACATGCCAAGCGTGTTGACCAGCCCACTTGCCTGACCGTGTGCGTGTGCGTGTGCATGGGCTTGCGCGCTGCTGTCGTCCCATGCACTCCTAGACAACTCTCCACCCACTCCCCTTGCACTCCACCGCAACTCACTCTGCATTCCACCCACCTCTCCTCCTCCTTCACCCTGCTTCTGCTGCTGCTGCTGCTGCTGTTGCTGTCTGTATGCCTGGAAAAGCAGCTGGCGTTTTGCAGCATGAGCGCGCGAAATGGGAGCTGGAGCGGAGGCGGGTTGGGATTCTGGTGGGAGGAGCAGCGAGGGGGGGAAAGAGGAACAAGCAACATCATCTGCCCAGCCATTTGCTGCAATTGATCCTCCCATCTCCACCGATCCGCCCATACTCACTGAAACACCTCCTCCTCCTCCTCCTCTTCCCATGCTGGGTGAAACACCACCTCCTCCTACTGACCGAAACCCCTCCTGCTCCTCCTCCGCCCATGCTGGCAGTCAAGTGTGCGGACCCAAGGCCGTCACCCCTCACACCACCACCGCCACCACCACCACCACCAGAGACAGCACACGCACCCCCGCCCCACACGCTGCCCTCGCCACCACCCGCCCCGCTCTGCATCCACGGTCTTCCCTCGCTTCCTGCACCCATCGACCTGGGGTTGGTGCAGTGTGCATGGCGTGCGGGGAGCTGCGGCAGCAGAGAGTGGGGGTTGGGAGGCGAGGGGTCCTCGCGAGAAGCAGAGGGGATGGGAGGAGAGAGCTGCATGGAGTAGCTCTGCTGCTGCGTTGAGTAACCCAGTTGCTTCCAGCAGCTTGCCGCACCTGCTGCTCCCTCACCCATACTCGCACCTGCAACGCCAAGGCTCCCGGAACTCCCAGCTTTGAGACTACCATCACCACCTGGTGCAGCTAACCCTCTTCCTCCTCGTCCTCCTCCTCCTGCCTCTGCTGCAGCGTTGGCTGCAGCCACAGCAGCAGCAGCCCCTCCTTTAGCGGCCATTCCAGCCGGCATGCCTCCCAGCCCACAACTCTGGCTCCAGCTCCTGCTGCTGCAGGCTGGCTCTACAGCCACTGAACCCCCCATGCCACCCCCCATGCCACTCCCCATGCCACTCCCCATGCCACCGCCCATGCCACCGCCCATGCCACCGCCCATGCCACCGCCCATGCCACCGCCCATGCCACCGCCCATGCCACTGGCCATACCACTCCCCATGCTATTCCTCCTGCAAGCGCCCACAGGCTCCACTCTCGCCTGCATGGGAATTCCGCTGCCTCCCCAACCCCCACCCGCAACACCACCACCAGCACCAGCACCTGCCATAGCCCCTGCCATAGCGCCACCGCAACTACCACCACCACCACCACTACCACCAGCGGTAGCAGCAGCAGCAGCAGCAGCAGCATCAGGAGCAGGAGAGGCACCCAGCGAGCCTACCCTTACGCCCACAGCGCTGTCAGGGCGGCGGCCCCACTTGCGGGCGAGAGCAGCCATGCGTGCAGGCAGTACCGGCGCACAGGCAGGAGGCAGAGAGTGCGTGCGTGAAATCAAAGGCTCTACCATGCATTGTGAGCCGCCCTCACTGAACCCACTGGAGGTCACTGTTGCTCCCCCCAAACTACCCATGCCGTTGCTTGTTGTGCTAGTGCCCATGCCGTTGTTGCACATGCTAGTGCCTATACTTGTTCCCATGTTAGCGCCCATGCCATTGCCCACGCTATTGCCCATGCCTTGCATGCTACGCGCTGCAGAGACGCTACGACCACCTCCCTTTCTCATGCCTCCCCACGACCTCCTCACCCCCACACTGCCACCAGCACTGGCAGTGGGAGCAGGAGCAGTTGTATTCCCACCAGGCACAGAAAACGCCGCTTGGGCCGCACCAGCACTAGCAGCAGCAGCACCAGCACCACCACCACCACCACCGCCACCGCCACCGGAAGCACCACCGCCACCACCAGAAGCAGCACGCCCTTGCCCTTGCCTTTCACTCGCAGCCTGCATGCCCCTCAACAGCAGCAGCTGCCTTCGCACCACACTCAATTCCTCTTCAACTGCTCCTTGCCCCTGCTGCCCCTGCTGCCCCTGCTGCCCCTGCTGCCCCTGCTGCCCCTGCTGACCCTGCTGACCCTGCTGCCCCTGCTGCCCCTGCTGCCCCTGCTGCCCCTGCTGCCCCTGCTGCCCCTGCTGACCCTGCTGCCCCTGCTGCCCCTGCTGCCCCTGCTGCCTCTGCAGCCTCTGCTGCCCCGGCTGCCACAGCACCGCGCCATGCTGCGCTTGTGCAGGGGGCTGGGAGCCCTCCAACTGCTGCCGCAGCAGAGCTAGCCTGCGGGCAAAGGGGTTCGGCGCTTGGGGTGGTAACCCACCTGCTGCCGCTCCCACCGCTGCTGCTGCTGCTGCTGCTGCTGCTGCTGCTGCTGCTGCTGCTGCTGCTGCTGCTGCTGCTGCTGCTGCTCGTCCTCCTACTGCTGCCGATGATGCAAGTGGCACTGGGAATGCTCCTGAGCCGATGGCTGGTGCGGCACCTGACGGTAGAGGATCCGAGATGCAGCGAAAGAACGCCAGAGAGGGGTGCATGCGGGGAGACAGAACATCGGGCGACGCGTGCGGGTGCAGCAGCGCAGTACCAGTGCGAGCAGGAGCAGCAGCAGGGGAAGGGAGGGTGGAAGCGGGGGAGGTAGGATCAGCAGAAGGAGCAGCGGACGCAGAGTGAGGCGTGTAGGGAGTGAGGGGCTGGGGGGTAGTGGTGGTGGGGTTGGCAGCGCTGCTTTTACTGCCCCATCGACCCCTCTTGGTGGAGGAGACAGGGGCGATACTGATGCTGTCTGTGCGCAGCTGTGCCACCAGACTCTGCCACTTGTCCACGTCTGATTGCCGCACAGCCATTCGCTGCTGCTGCTGAGGCTGAGGCTGCTGCTGTTGCTGCTGCTGCTGCTGCTGAGGCTGCTGTTGCAACGGCTGGTGCAACGGCTGCTGTTGCTGCTGTTGTCCGTGCAAGTGGCCCCGTTCAGGCTGCTCTCGGTGCTGTGCGTGCTGCTCCTGTTCCTGCTGCATCGCTTCAAGCGACGCCCACAAGCTTCCCCCTCCTCCTGCATCCGTTCCCGCACTCTTACCACCAGTGCCACCAGCAGCATCAGCAGCAGCAGCAGACCCCATGAAGCCAGGTTCCATTTCACCAGCATCAAAAGCAGCAGCAAGGGGGCCGCCAAGAGCTCCCCACATAGCTCCCCCTATCTCGCCCCCTATATCACCCCCCATGCCGCCACCTCCCATGGCCCCATAGGCATCGCCAAACGTCCAGGTGGCACAGCGCTTGCGCGGGAGAGGCGCTGCAGTGGAGGCAGGCAGGCCACTCGGAGCAGGGCGAGCAGCGACAAGGGCACGCGTGGCAGACGCGCTTGCAGCACGTGCAGCAGCAGCAGCCGCAGCAGTGGGAGCAGAAGGAGCAGCGGGAGCAGCAGTGGCAGCAGGAGCAGCAGGAGGAGAAGGTTCAGACATGGCATATGCAGCACGCACGCCCTCTCCCTTGCCTGTGCCTGTCAATTCTGCTGCTGCTGCTGCTGCTGCGCCTGCCACTGCTTGCTCCCCCTGCTGAGTCGTGCGGCCTTGTACCTTCCCCCCAACTACGCCACCATTCTCCTCTGCTGCCACCACCACTGCTGGCCCAACTCTCTCGTCCTCCCCTATCCCTCCCCACCCTCCTCCACCACTAACCACCGCTTGCCCAGAGATCCCAGGGCTAACTTCCCACGCACCACCCACAGTACCCCTCATACTCTCTCCTGTTCCCGTCTCTCCCTCCCTCGTCTCCTCTCCTCTCCTCCCCGCGCCCCCCACCTCCCGCGCAGTGGCACGCCCACAGACAGACGGAACCGAAGCCTGGGAGGGCTGGCAAGGAGACGACGCTGCCGCAGCTCTGGCTGTGGCTTCTGGCGCTGCTGCGGATGCCACCGGGAACGCGGATGAGGGCGCAGCGGGGACGGGACGCGAGAACGAGGGCGCGAGGGCAGGGCAGGGGGCAAACGTGGAAGGGAGGGCGGGGGACGTCAAGGGGGGAGGCGAGGGGCGAGGGGAGGGCGGTTGGTGGTGGCGGTGGCGGTGGTGGTGGTGGTGGCGGGGAGAGGTTGCAGCGAGTTGGTCGACTGGTTGCTGCAGGAAGCTGAACTGGCTGTGAGCAGCGTCGTGAATGAGCCGCACCATGCCAGATGAAAACTCCCGCTCCTCCTCCTGCTGCTCATGCTGTTGCTCCTGTTGTTGCTCCTGTTGTTTCTCCTGTTGTTTCTCCTGTTGTTTCTCCTGTTGTTTCTCCTGTTGTTTCTCCTGTTGTTTCTCCTGTTGTTGCTCCTGTTGTTTCTCCTGTTGTTGCTCCTGTTGTTTCTCCTGTTGTTTCTCCTGTTGTTTCTCCTGTTGTTTCTCCTGTTGTTTCTCCTGTTGTTTCTCCTGTTGTTTCTCCTGTTGTTTCTCCTGTTGTTTCTCCTGTTGTTGCTCCTGTTGTTTCTCCTGTTGTTGCTCCTGTTGTTGCTCCTGTTGTTGCTCCTGTTGTTGCTCCTGTTGTTTCTCCTGTTGTTGCTCCTGTTGTTGCTCCTGTTGTTTCTCCTGTTGTTGCTCCTGTTGTTGCTCCTGTTGTTTCTCCTGTTGTTGCTCCTGTTGTTGCTCCTGTTGTTGCTCCTGTTGTTGCTCCTGTTGTTGCTCCTGTTGTTGCTCCTGTTGTTGCTCCTGTTGTTGCTCCTGTTGTTGCTCCTGTTGTTGCTCCTGTTGTTGCTCCTGTTGTTGCTCCTGTTGTTTGCTCCTGTTGTTGCTCCTGTTGTTGCTCCTGTTGTTGCTCCTGTTGTTGCTCCTGTTGTTGCTCCTGTTGTCCTGTTGCTCCTGTTGTTGCTCCTGTTGTTTGCTCCTGTTGTTGCTCCTGTTGTTGCTCCTGTTGTTGCTCCTGTTGTTGCTCCTGTTGTTGCTCCTGTTGTTGCTCCTGTTGTTGCTCCTGTTGTTGCTCCTGTTGTTGCTCCTGTTGTTGCTCCTGTTGTTGCTCCTGTTGTTGCTCCTGTTGTTGCTCCTGTTGTTGCTCCTGTTGTTGCTCCTGTTGTTGCTCCTGTTGTTGCTCCTGTTGTTGCTCCTGTTGTTGCTCCTGTTGTTGCTCCTGTTGTTGCTCCTGTTGTTGCTCCTGTTGTTGCTCCTGTTGTTGCTCCTGTTGTTGCTCCTGTTGTTGCTCCTGTTGTTGCTCCTGTTGTTGCTCCTGTTGTTGCTCCTGTTGTTGCTCCTGTTGTTGCTCCTGTTGTTGCTCCTGTTGTTGCTCCTGTTGTTGCTCCTGTTGTTGCTCCTGTTGTTGCTCCTGTTGTTGCTCCTGTTGTTGCTCCTGTTGTTGCTCCTGTTGTTGCTCCTGTTGTTGCTCCTGTTGTTGCTCCTGTTGTTGCTCCTGTTGTTGCTCCTGTTGTTGCTCCTGTTGTTGCTCCTGTTGTTGCTCCTGTTGTTGCTCCTGTTGTTGCTCCTGTTGTTGCTCCTGTTGTTGCTCCTGTTGTTGCTCCTGTTGTTGCTCCGCCTCCTCCTCCTCCTCCTGCTGCTGGTGATGCTCCTCGGGCTGCTGCTTTTGCTGCTGCTGCTGCTGCTGCTGCGGCAACAGCAAATGCTGTTGGTGGCTGTGTGATTGCTGCTGCTTCTCTCCGTTGGCCTGCTGCCGTGCTGCATGCACCTCCAGGTGAGCCCTCAACAACTCTTGCTGCTGCACCAGCCACTGCTGCTCTTGCTGCTGTAACCACCTTCCAGGTTCCTCCTCTCTAACTGCTGCTTCCATTGGCTTCTCTTGCTGCCGCTGTTGCTGTTGCTCTTGCACTTGCTCTTGCTCTTGCTCTTTTTGCTGCTGTTGCTGCTGCTGCCGCCCTTGCTTTTGCTCTTGCTGCTGCTGCTGCTGCTGCTGCTGCTGCTGCTGCTGCTCTTGCTGCTGCTGCCGCCCTTGCTGTTGCTCTTGCTGCTGCTGCTGCTGCTGCTGCTGCTGCTGCTGCTGCTGCTGCTGCTGCTGCTGCTGCTGCCGGTGGCCGTGGCAGTGCTGTGTGCCAGCGCCAGGCTCGACGATGGCCGGGGTCACAGGGGCCCACACGGGGAGAACACCACCGGGTAAGCACGCTCCTGCTGCCCCTGCTACCCCTGCTGCCCCTGCTGCTCCTGCTGCTACCGCTGAGCCAGCCGCGGCCCCCCTGTGTGCGGCAGCTAGTGCTTCTCGAGACCCCACTCGCCGCCCGCAGTCTGCTTGCGCTGAACCCATCCCTGCGATGCCGTTGCTTGCTGTCAGGCTGTCACCGCAACCGTCACAACCAACGCCACCGCTATCGTTAAAGTAACCGTCAACATCTCCGTGATCGCCGTCAAGTCCAGGTTCCCCGCACCCTTGCTTGCCATCGCCCCGATCTGCTGCCGACAAAGGGCCTGCCTTTTCCGCCCTTTCCGCCCTTTCCGCATGTTTCTCACCTTCCGCCGCTCCCCCGTTTCCCCCCATGGTTACCGCCGTTCGCGTCCCTTGAAGAGGCGACGCACCCATGCTCTCCGCCTCCTCTGCAACCTCCGCTTCACACTCCCCCTCTCCTTCCGCGGCCCAGTCTCCGCGCACGTCCAACGGCGGAAGCAGCCCGCCGGCGGGGGAGAAGGGGAGAGGCGGCGGGAGTGAGGTTATTGGGAAAGCGGAAAATCCGAAAGGGTAGTTTCCGCCCAAGGCGGAAGGGGCAGGCGAGGCCGAGCGAATGTGCACGAAATTCGCGTCGACAACCTGCTGTTCGCGCCGTTGCTGCTGATGTGGCCGTGGCTCCTGTTGCTGCTCCTGCTGTTGTTGCTGTTGCCGCCGCCGCTTTCGCTGCTGCTCTTGCTGCTGCTGGTGCTGCTGCTGCTGCCGAAGCGACACCAACAGTCCCGAGTGCCACTGCCCGTCCATTCCCCCTCGCCTCGGCTCCTTCACACTGTGACTCGCTGTGATGCCTCCTCCTCCCTTCTCCGGTTCTTCCCGCAAGTAGTGACCACTACCCCACTCTACCCCCTCCTACGGCTACAGTATCAACCGTACCTTCCCCCTCCGCTGCTCCTATATTGTTCTGGTCGCTCGCCCCGCATGTCGCGGCGGGAATCATGGGGTTATGGTCTTTCTGCGGAGGGGTCTGATCTGTTTCTTCCGCGGCGCCTGACGGGATGAGGGGGGACCACGGAGACGGTATGGCGGTGCGAGGAAAAGTACCAGGAAAGGCCGGGAACAGCGCGGCGTCGTCGAGGAGGAAACATGTCGCAGGGTCGTCCATATTTGCGACGCTCTCGCACGAGCGATAGGCGATGCTCTATGCCAGGTGCTCGCGATGCTCGTCACTGCGGCACTAACCCTCCCTTTCAGCTTAGCCGTAATTCGTCTGCGACAATGTGAACTACTCGTGAAAACACGTCAAACATCGCCAGGATAGCTCGACGTCCTAGGAGCGACAGTCGAGTCCGACAAAACAGCCATCCTAAAAGACAAGAGAGAGAGAGAGAAAAAAACTTACTTATTTTGCACAATTTGACTAGCAGCGCCTGGGCCGTTATCGTGCTGTTCTAACGGTAATAAATAATCATCAAAATCGTAAATATCGCGTGTGGCGAAACGACATCACAAAAATGTGTGTGTTTGAAAATCATCTGACGTTCCCGCAGGTCGATCGTATGTTAGACAATCGTTTGAAAAACGTACAGAAAACCTACAAAAATCGTTTGTCCCTCTTGAGACGTTTTGGAGACACTATTCGTATGTTTCCGCTCAATGTTTCTTGCCTGTTGCTGCAGCATTAGGGTTTCGCGACTAAGAGGGGTTGGAGCTGGTCTCCTCGCTTGGAAGATTTGTGCTGTAAACCTGTTCTCGATATAAATGTCTCCTTTTTACTTCTGTGCATTGTTTGTTACAGCAAAACCTTTGAAGATTATTTCTTGAATTTGTAAATCCCATTAAGAACATGGGTTTCCAAGTGTCATATTTAACCAATGGTTATTGATTTTGCACCCATTAGATTAAAGAAATGCCTAAAAATATCAATATTCTAGGTTCAAAATCAACGTTTACCACAGTCACATTGGGTCAAAGGCCTCACCATACAAATCTGTTGAGGAGGCTCACTTCATCGTCCTCGCACGAGGGTACAATGTGCACGAGACTAAGAATGCAGTCTACATCGATCACCGCATAATTATCAACGCCCTCTGTGGGTAAAAGACGCTTGCATCCCGTCGACGGGCATTGTCGCTTGTCTTCGGTGTAGTACTCCACATATGCGCCTCGCCTCAGCTCACCACCCTTGTTGTAATGAAACAGCACAAGGCAACGGCCATACCACGGGGATCCATTCCCTGCAGGGTTGATCGCAATCGACGAGAAGTTTTGCTGGGCTGGGCTAGCCTTGACGAACTGCCCCCTTGACGTCCATTCCATCTTATCGTGTGGCGGGATCGCAAGTGCCGTGTGCACCTGACACCACGAGCATTCAACAAAGAAAAAGGGAAAGCAGTGAAAGAGGGGGTGGAGAGCATAAGGGAAATGGGGTATTGGCCAGGGTTTGCATGGACAGCAGTCTGGAGAGGGGGAACCAGGGGCGGATGGGGTGGAAAGCAAGCAGGAGAGGGGGAACCAGGGGTGGATGGGGTGGAAAGCAAGCAGGAGAGGGGGAATCAGGGGTGGATGGGGTGGAAAGCAAGCAGGAGAGGGGGAACCAGGGGTGGATGGGGTGGAAAGCAAGCAGGAGAGGGGGAACCAGGGGTGGATGGGGTGGAAAGCAAGCAGGAGAGGGGGAACCAGGGGCGGATGGGGTGGAAAGCAAGCAGGAGAGGGGGAACCAGGGGCGGATGGGGTGGAAAGCAAGCAGGAGAGGGGGAACCAGGGGTGGATGGGGTGGAAAGCAAGCAGGAGAGGGGGAACCAGGGGCGGATGGGGTGGAAAGCAAGCAGGAGAGGGGGAACCAGGGGTGGATGGGGTGGAAAGCAAGCAGGAGAGGGGAATGCACCTACAAGACTTGCGTGTTGATGCCCGCCTGTTTGAGGCGCAGAACCATCGCACTCATGGCGGGTTCAACCAGCGTCAAGACGTAGCTCCGGAACACCGAGTCGGTGATGTCTCCAATGACCATCTTCTTGTGGGTCTTAGTAAGCACCCTCCGGCCAGCCAGGCATGCCTGTCACCGTGAAGATGAGAGGGTTGGTATAGGGAGGGGGTGGGGTGAATGGTGTGGTCATTTGGAGGGTGGAAGAGAGGGTGGGGGAGGGGATTGATGCGGGGGAGGCGAAGGAGAGGGCTAGGGACCAGGGGGAAATGAGGGTGGGGGAACGGGGGCGAGTTTGTGGGGACGAAGACGGGGATGGAGGGTAGGAGTCGGTTACTTTGGTTAGGTTGGTCCAGCATCTGATTGCCAACTCATGCAGAGAGCATGGAAACAGATATTGGGGAACAGAGCAGTGGAACATAGCAGGGAAACAGTAGGGAACACAGGAGGATGTTGCGGAGCAGGGATGAAAGCAGGGAAAACAGAGCAGGGACCAGATCAGGGCAAACAGAACAGGGCACAGAGCAGGGCAGACACATCAATGAACATAGCATGGAAACAGTGCTGAGAACAGAGCAGGGAAACAGAACAGGGTACAGAGAAGGGGAACGGACTAGGGGAACAGAGCAGGAGAAGAGAGCAAGAGAACTGAGAAGGGAAACAGAGCAGGGAAACAGAGCAGGGGAACAGAAAAGTGGAATAGAGCAAGAGAACAGAGCAGGGCAGCCATGCAGTGAGTTAGAGCAGGAGAGCAGAGCATGGGAATAAAACAGGGAAACAAAGCAGACGAGAGTGTGCAGGGGTACAGAGCAGGGGGGACATTGCAGGTTTAAAAGAATCACCTCTTTCATCGAAGTCTCGTACGTGCTGTCCCCGCCGGCCTCCCGCGCTAGTTGTCTAACTACCGCGTGCTCCAGGTGTTTCCGAACGATGCGATCTTCAACATTCTTCCAATTCGTGCCACGTGAAGGACGCTTCACAGTGGTCTTGTGGGAGTGCTCGTAACAGTTCGACGAGTACTCCGCGGGGATTCCCCGAAGACGGATGGTTGACGGGAGGTGGACGAGGAGATGAATTTTCACTATTTTCCACTTTGACTTCTGCTTAGGAAATGCAACACGCAGAGCCTTCACCATGCTGGGGAGAGACAGTCGAGAGCATGCATGCAGTTAAGGGGTGGAATGCAGGCCAGGAAGGGAGAAACGACACGAGGGAGGGGGGGTGAGGAATCATGCAGTCAAGGGAAAAAAAGGGCAGGATTGAGGTCAAGCAGGTGGGGTATGGAAGAACAGGGATGCAAAGGGTCAAAACAAGATGAAAGGGAAGGGGGGGGGGGGGGGGGGGGAGAGCATGTAGGTATGGTTGATGCGAGGAAAATGGGTGTATGTGGCAATGAACGGCTTGGGAGCCCACACAACAACAAGAGTAACTACCTGATGGTGGCATCTTTCATCCGTTTCAGGGAATCGTCGGTGTGGTACTCAGCGCGAATAAACTCCTTGTACCACTCGACCATGAGCACGATTGCCGTCCGGACATCTTTCCGTCCTGGGAGATCGATGATGAGAGGCAAGACCTGCATCATCGCACGATGCTCTGAAGCTGAAAAGCAGGCAGTGGATGTAAAGTAGGCCCACGCCGAAGGCAGACGGAGCACGGAAGCTGGTGTGACCTCCTTCAAAATCTTGTATCGCCTAGAGAGAAGGAACGGTTCAGCATGGTGGAAAATGCAAGCAAGGAGGGGAGGAACGGTTCAGCATGGTGGAAAATGCAAGCAAGGAGGGGAGGAACGGTTCAGCATGGCACGGAAAGCAAGCAAGGAGGGGAGGAACGGTTCAGCATGGCGCGGAAAGCAAGCAAGGAGGGGAGGAACGGTTCAGCATGGCGCGGAAAGCAAGCAAGGAGGGGAGGAACGGTTCAGCATGGCGCGGAAAGCAAGCAAGGAGGGGAGGAACGGTTCAGCATGGCACGGAAAGCAAGCAAGGAGGGGAGGAACGGTTCAGCATGGCACGGAAAGCAAGCAAGGAGGGGAGGAACGGTTCAGCATGGCGCGGAAAGCAAGCAAGGAGGGGAGGAACGGTTCAGCATGGCGCGGAACTACTCACTCCAGAAGAATCTTCCGTTCTTTCGGAGTCAGCTTCTTCACAAGGCACTTCATGGCATGCAGCCATATGCCCTGCTCCCAGATGTGCATGATGTCCGGGGGGACAGCGAGGTACGTGTTGCCCCAGAGAGTCTTTGCGAATTCCCAGTCCCACAAAAGGCTCTGCGTTGTGGGTCAAGGACACAGAGTCACTATGGCGGGTCGGGGTAATAAACACAAACAGCTGGCTGCGGATTGGAGTAGGTTCTCATGCACACTAGCCAGTGCAGTATATGGTGTGGATGGAGGGAAACCAGATGAGATGCGCGGCAATGCATGCGGAACAAGCTAGGCAAGGGTTACCTTCACAAAGTGAGTAGAGGTCTTCTTCTTCACCGCCTTCAGCTTCTTCTTGGTCTTTGCTGATTCCATCTCCTTGTACGCATCCTTCTGACTCTTGACAGTTCTGAGGACAATAGTGTCTTCCTGCTCATCCAGGCACTCCTTATCGGGGGGCGTTTGAGTCAACTCAAACGTCATTGCATCGAGGTGCTCCTTATCAGCCAAGCACAACGAGCACGGATGGAGCGAGTTGCATGCCATCGTACAAGTGACCTTAGAAGACTCCGGGTGATCTGTCACCCATGAATATAGAAGCGTGAATGCTCTATATTGCACACCGGCACTGTCTTCCACCATCACCCCGCCCCTGCACAGCCGCCAAGGATGAAGGGGGAAACAGGGAGGTAGAGGGGGGATGATGGGATAACACGTCGGAGATGGGAGTAACGGAGTGAGCATGGGCGGCCCTAAGCAAGCAGATGAAGAACGGTTAGGAAGATGGGGATAGCAAGCAGGGAAGGCATTAACGGCATGAGATGGTGGCAAAGCAAAGTTATGACTGAATACAGCGTTGTGGCACGCATGCGAAGGAGGACCAGATGTGAACGAGGGTCAACAAAGGGAGCGGAGAGGGTATGCCTCAGGGAAAGAATATTAGAAGGGTAGTGGGGTGGAAACGTGACGGAGTGGTTGGTTTGACCAAACCAGAAGGCTAATGATGGAAACAGCGGGGTGGGAGGATTATGAATAGGGATGAGGCAGAATACGTAGTACGATGACGGAGATTACTAGGGATGCGCGCCTTTGGGTGACAGTAGTGTTGACTCACCCTTTCAGATGTGAAGCCGCCTTTAAATCTTTAATCATGATCTCTGCAGCGCGCTGGAACACCCGAACCTTTTCTTCCGGCGAGAGGTCAGCTGGGATATTAGGCAGAAGCCCGAGAAGCTCAGTGCCTCCTTCGAGCCACCTAGCCCATTCCGGAATGTTCCCAAAGGACAAAAGAAATGGGTGGGCGGATTGGCGCCCGTTATGTGATAGATTGGTCTGGTCCGAGAACAGAATGAGCGCTATAACTATGCCATACTTCCGCACCCTCTCCTGCCACAGTGAATGAGAAAGTGATGGAAATCTGAATTGGATCCTATGTTTTGACGGTCTTGTCAAACGCGACATGAGCTGGAACCAAACTTACCCAAGCCTCCAGCATCCAGTCCGTGTTTGCAGGGGTACTGTAGCGGCGAACCCCATCAACCTTCCACTCTTGAGGCATGATGGTGAATCCCTTGACAGCTGACATTTTCTTGAACATGGTTTGAAGGAGCTGATGGTGATAATGACGGAAACAAAGATGTAAAACAGACGTGAAGAAACGATGGTTCCCTTTGGTCCGATGGTTTGATCGTCATCACTAAACCCCCACCTCCACTCTAAAGAACGTGACACCGCACCTGGGAGACACTCACTTTTATAGCGTTTCGGCGTTTGAAAGTGAGAAACCCAATCTCGTGATCCACTGGGATCTCCTCGACGATCCATTCGTTCGCCTCTCCAACGTCAAAGGTGTTCTCGTACTTCTCCAGGTCCCGGTAGCTGTTCCAATCGTCCAGCTGCTTTGGATCTAATTTCGGATGTCTAACTGTATCGTGTCGTTTATCACCCCGTTGGTAAGGCCGTGAGACTGTGCCAAAATGCATATTTCCGCCTTAACATCGAGAATTTCCTCTGTAGGAGCTTCTTCCCCCACGAGTGTGGTGCTACACGTATGGACCGCATCAGGAACTCGCTCTGCCGGCTGCTGGTGCTGCTCTACTGCGTTCGGAAGTGCTGCTAAGGGAATCGAATGCTTTGGCGCGGGAAGGGTGGCTCTTCCTAACGGGACAAAGGTATACTGCTTCTCAACGTCACGACCCAGCTTCTTTCGTTTAGCAGCCTCTTGAGCCTTGCGTCTTTGGGCTCGCTTACAGCCGTCATGGTTAGCTTGATGGCTACGTACTGTTTGATAGCAGTACACGCGCTTATTGCAAAACTCGCAACCCTGACCCTCCATCGAGCAGATCTGTCCGTAGGACTGAAATGGTGTTTGGCACACCAGCTTGAGATGTGAGTGGTAACACTGCACCGTGGTGAGATAGTAAACTATCGTATGGACGATAGTTTACCGAAAGGCGAGGGAAGGATTTGGCGCGAACACGAATTGGCGATCTGAGCCTGAACATATGTTTCCGGTGACCCTGATTGGCCATTGGTCATCGAGTGTCAGTAGTTGGTTTGCAATTGGTTAGGGTTTGTGATGTACTGCTCGAAGTGCTAGGTCACACTGTTTATTGGTGCGCGACAACCGCGCAGATGGGCGAGAACGCCATGCGACTCTTACTCAGCATCTCCCGGTGTAACTGTTTTCGCGTACAAAAACTGCTTTCTTGTCGCAGCAACCTGACGAGGTTTTGTACCCAACTGGAAACAAGTTGGCGAAGGTCGTTTCCGCTTGCGACATGGACCTGACATCCTTTTTGGGGTACACGCCAATTGTGTGTCAGAAAAATACAAGCCGCACCAATGCCATTGGAGCAGGGAATCCTGTCAGACCGCCCAACACTGGACACCAAGTAGACAAGATATCAAGAGCAGGCTATTCGTTGACGACGAATGGGAGCAGGAATTTTAGCACAAAGTTGACCAACGAAGGGCAAGGGCGTGTGGGTCCTTCTCCAGGAGGAACTACAGTATCTGCTTCGACTTTCCGTTGAGCTGGCTGGGCAAGGAATTTCGACCCTTACCTAAGGCAAGATCCTGCTCAAGCTGAGTTTGCGTACTCAAGATATGGAGGAGAAGGGCATACCCAAGTTAGCGCGATGTAGTTTCCGGCACATGCGCATGCCATCCCCGTTTGGGGGATCTCTTGAAATCAAACCCTCATATTACCGCACGCTGGAAAACGAGCAGTGGATCAGTGGCACGGTTATCGAGTGGCTCTCATCGTGAGTGCCTCTGTGTTGAACACAGAGCAAACTGATTTGTTGACCCTTGATTTTAGTTTCTCACGAGCTTCACCGACTTTGTATATTTTCATGTCGATCCTGCAGTATGTTACACTACGAGTACGGATATGACAATGCATCGTGGCTTTGCACATCGCCTTATTTCTGGACACTCGTAGCACGCCCGGGGTCGAAGAGGATCACTAGGCAGGCCTATGGACATGACATTTTGTCGTTTAAGCACGTTCTTGTTCCGATTAACAAGGAGTAAGTAGTCGGGTCTTTTTATTCATGTGTAGAACGTACCCATGTGCTGCAAACTAACGACATTGGAGTCTCGATAACATTGCAGTGCGCACTGGAGCCTTGCTGTCATCGAAATTAACCACGCTCCGGGATCCCTTATCCCGATCAAGTGTGTCCTGTGGCATGCGGACTCATATGCAACTCACGTCGACATTGATGGACCTTTGAGAAAGTGAGATATGTGCTTCGTATGAAACATGATTCTTGCGGACGAGTGCTAACGACCCGTACGCTCAATGCGCAGATGTTTGATGCGACAGGTCATGAAGCGCTACGCATGGATCACGGAGACTGAAGCAAAATCGTGGGCAGCAGAGATTCCGTTAAACGCCATCGAGGTATGCGCGTTGGATGCGCGGATGCGTACGGGGGTGGGAAGGGTAGGATGCGCATGAGTGCAATGGGGATGCGCCGATGAGAAGGGGAGTGAGATGAGTGGGCTGAGCATGAGTGCGATGGGGATGCGCGGATGAGAAGGGGGGTGAGAGGAGTGGGCTGCGCATGAGTGCGGTGGGGATGCGCGGATGAGAAGGGGGGTGAGAGGAGTGGGCTGCGCATGAGTGCAGGGGGGATGCGCGGATGAGAAGGGGGGTGAGAGGAGTGGGCAGCGCATGAGTGCGGTGGGGATGCGGGATGAGAAGGGGAGTGAGAGGAGTGGGCAGCGCATGAGTGCGGTGGGGATGCGGGATGAGAAGGGGAGTGAGAGGAGTGGGCTGCGCATGAGTGCGGTGGGGATGCGCGGATGAGAAGGGGAGTGAGAGGAGTGGGGTGCGCATGAGTGCGGTGGGGATGCGCGGATGAGAAGGGGGGTGAGAGGAGTGGGCTGCGCATGAGTGCGGTGGGGATGCACGGATGAGAAAGGGAGTGAGAGGAGTGGGCTGCGCATGAGTGCGGTGGGGATGCGGGATGAGAAGGGGAGTGAGAGGAGTGGGCAGCGCATGAGTGCGGTGGGGATGCGGGATGAGAAGGGGAGTGAGAGGAGTGGGGTGCGCATGAGTGCGGTGGGGATGCGCGGATGAGAAGGGGAGTGAGAGGAGTGGGGTGCGCATGAGTGCGGTGGGGATGCGCGGATGAGAAGGGGGGTGAGAGGAGTGGGCTGCGCATGAGTGCGGTGGGGATGCACGGATGAGAAAGGGAATGAGAGGAGTGGGCTGCGCATGAGTGCGGTGGGGATGCGCGGATGAGAAGGGGAGTGAGAGGAGTGGGCTGCGCATGAGTGCGGTGGGAATGCGCGGATGAGAAGGGGGGTGAGAGGAGTGGGCTGCGCATGAGTGCGGGGGGGATGCGCGGATGAGAAAGGGAGTGAGAGGAGTGGGCTGCGCATGAGTGCGGTGGGGATGCGGGATGAGAAGGGGAGTGAGAGGAGTGGGATGCACATGAGTGTGGTGGGGATGCGCGGATGAGAAGGGGAGTGTGAGGAGTGGGCTGCGCATGAGTGCGGTGGGGATGCGCGGATGAGAAGGGGAGTGAGAGGAGTGGGCTGCGCATGAGTGCGGTGGGGATGCGCGGATGAGAAGGGGGGTGAGAGGAGTGGGCTGCGCATGAGTGCGGTGGGGATGCGCGGATGAGAAAGGGAGTGAGAGGAGTGGGCTGCGCATGAGTGCGGTGGGGATGCGGGATGAGAAGGGGAGTGCGAGTAGTGGGCTGCGCATGAGTGCGGTGGGGATGCGCGGATGAGAAGGGGAGTGAGAGCAGTGGGCTGCGCATGAGTGCGGTGGGGATGCGCGGATGAGAAAGGGAGTGAGAGGAGTGGGCTGCGCATGAGTGCAATGGGGATGCGCGGATGAGAAGGGGAGTGTGAGGAGTGAGGTGCGCATGAACAACATTTTTCTGCCTGAATTCGAATATTACACCTAATCCCAACACTATCACCTTCTCGGGCCATTTGCAGGTGCGACAGCAAGACAACGATAATGACTGCGGTGTTTATGTAATGCGAGTCATTCATACTCTCGTCGAATCCGAATTCGGCAGTCTGAATGCGTGCAACTTGGTCGGGACGCCAAGACAGTGGAGGCGGCAATATCGTAAAGATTTGGCTAAGTGGTCGTGTTTCTATGACAGTGCATGCGCCTCTATTCAGGCTGTGTGATGCTCTTAGCCACCTTCGGTGTTGGATAGGGGCTGCATAATCTAGCACTAGACATGAGATTAGCTGAGTATAATGACAGATGGCCTAGTTATTATGCTATCCTGAAAGGTGTGTGTCACGTCATGGTGCTGAGGACCTGGAGTGGAGTGGGCAGTATGGAGTGGTGTCCCACCGAACCATGCATGCATGCAATGAATGGATGGCTGAAGGTGGGTTGGACAGCAGCATGCCTTCAAGAGGCACGGCATACAAAAACGGTGTGTGGTTATACGGTACTAGAACATGTCAACACACAGCGTGCCGCATGTGACTCGTAAGGTTGCACAACAGACACAACGCTGCTTCTCTATCCTCCTTTGCTGAATGCATAGTACCCCTACAATCAAGAAACACTCTGCTGATCTCTTCCAACCAGGCTGAATATGGGATGTTGCATGCCAGAGCAAGACTTGATTTGAATCGTGCTTACACTTAGCAGCCATTTGGTGTATGTGAAACTCCAGTCCCCTGGTATCTTGGTGATGTTGCATATGACAATATACCACGGTATCACCCTTCTCACTGTTCATGGCACTTTCATAAAGGCGGCCTCTGTGACACATTACGACGGTTTTTGGAGTTTGAATTCTTGGTAGGGTTCTTTCTGTGGTTGAGGGTTATCCCTAAATGCGTGACTTGTATGTTAGTCCAGAATCTGGACTCCAGATCCAATCACAAGTACCTGGAGTTAGGTAGAAAAAAAAAACCAGATGATGTGTTAGAATGATATTTGGGTTGTTATACAGCGCACTTGTAACGCCCATCCTTGTTTTCGATATTGCAACGATGGTTCAAGGGCAACAGAACAGAGTCGTTCTCGAAGCGCGATGAGTTGGACTAGGCACGGATTGTCCTACGCGTGTATTCGAATTTCGCGCTGCCTGTTTGCTGTTGTGGCATTGATTTTTTGTGACATTGATTTTTTTGCGGCTAGTCTAGCTCTGATGTTGACATTCACGCGATCGAAAATACTTAGTAGTATCGCGCTTTTAGTACAATGCAGATATAGGATTGCTGGCGAAACGGCGTTCCAGCCCAACAAGTCTCCTACTAAGACCAGGCTTGTGAACACTCACATACCGTACTGCCAGCACGTACCTTGCAACTTCTAGGGCAGCTGGGCTGCTGCGATCCCAGAACTGGTGCAGGAGCTGAAGAAGGCGCGGAACTCCAGCACGACGTGAATTCATGGGAGGTTTTCGTTAAAGGAACATGCTGTGCCATCTCTCGTGGCGGTAGTTGAGACCACGAAACCCTAAGGCGAAGAGCACCAAGAACGTCACGCTTGTACCAGTTGAGGTTCTCCTCACGATACCCTCCTACGATAGGCATTTCCAAATGTTGCCTCACTGTGAGTTGCTGCCATAACGCATTGCTGTTAGCAGTAGGCACTTCTAACCTTAGCGCGTTGCAATTACTCGTCGTAGGCACGTCCAGCTATGGCGCAGTCGTAATGCTCTCTAAGGGCGCGTCCAGCAATGGCGCGCTCCTGTTCTCGCTTGCAAGACCTTCTTGGGCGCGGTCCGCAGGCACGTACTGGGATTTCGCACTGCGTTTCTCGCAGGCACGTCTAGCATGCGCGGTGGGATTCCTTGCACCTTGAATACCTATTTAAGCAAGCTCTGATCCATCGAAATGCACTCCTCATCTTGCAATCATTCACTGGACTGGTCTAGCGGCAATAATGGCGGACATCTGCGATCTCGATCAACAGGCCGATGCTACTGCGGTGGTAGTAGGCACTGGAGCTTTACAGCCCCTGGAAGGCGCCAGAACAGGTGCGGAACAGAGGCTTCATGACGAGATGACACCTCACAAAGCTGCTCCGTTAGCTGTTCAGTATCGGAGGAAGAACAAATCTTCTGCACGCGCTGCCGAGGAGTCAGGGGACTCATCATCGGATAGTGACCAGTCTGGTGACGAGCCTTACGCTGGCCGAATTAGTCGCGGCGGTTCAAGCGAGCCGCGGAACGGTCCTAAGGTGAAGCTGCTGGACCAATTCAAACCTGCTAAAGAGAGGAAAGGTAAGCAAGAGCCTTTTAGCTCCGCATAGCGTCTTTCTATGTCTGTTTCAGAGTTGCTCATTGATATCGTGGTTGATTTCGCCACCAATAGAGGTGCTCCACTCGTCACCACTAATCTTGTCGCCCTTTCTTTATGTGTTGTAGCTAAACGCGGTGCCAAGAAAGGGAAAAGAGGGAAACAACAGACGATCGGGGCAACACGACAGCATGAAGCTGTAGACGACGAGGATCACTTGCAAGTGAAAGGGCATGAGCGTGACGGCGAGCGGGGCGGCGAGCGTGACGGCGATCGTGACAGCGAGTGTGACGGCGATCGTGACGGAGAGCATTACAGCAAGCGTGACGGCGATCGTGACGGCGAGCGTTACAGCAAGCGTGACGGCAATCGTGACGGCAAGCGTTACAGCAAGCGTGACGGCGATCGTGACGGCGAGCGTTACAGCAAGCGTGACGGCGATCGTGACGGCGAGCGTTACATCAAGCGTGACGGCGAGCGTTGCGGCAGGGTTGGCGAGGGTGAGGGTGATCATGAGGGCGAGCTTGAAGTGAAGCGTGACGCATCCCCTCCTACTGCAGCAGGTGCTCGACAGGATGGTGCAGAGAATGTTCCTGGGCATGGGGGGGGTGGGAGGGAGAGCCGTGGCGGGGAGTTGGAGGATTAGAGGGGGGTGTCAGGGAGGGTGAAGTCACGGCGCCGAAGGGCTGGAAAGAAAGCCCCTGTCAAGGAGGAATCTTCCGATGACGATGAAAGCTCTGAGGAGGAGTCGGGGAGCTCCTCTGGGAGCGAGGAGAAGTAAGACGATGAGGAGGACGAAAGTGAGGATGCGGAATCAGAGTCAGAGAGTGAGGAGGAAGACAGGAGGAAAGGCAAGGCTCGGGGTGGACGCAGAAACGGATCTAGCGGAAAGCGTTGTCGCGCTAGGAAGGAAAAGAAAGGGCGTAAGAGGGGGAGGCCCCAAGAACATGCACCAGCCAAGCGCTCAGAACGTGGGGAAACCCGAGTGGGTAAGGAGCGGCGTACTTTGAATGCCGATCTCGGGTTCTACAACGACATGAAGGTTTTGGGGAAAACAGTAGATGCTACAGCGGAGAACCGACGGGAAAGCATTCGCAAGAAACGGGGAGCTTCAGACGACCCCTATGCGGCACTCGCTTCAGGTTCCTCGTTGGGAAGGAATGCCCACCCGGTTCGTGGGCGGAGTGGCATCAAAGTTGAAGTCCAGCGTGTTGCTGACAACCGTAAGTATGGAGGAAGTGACGATGAGGAGTGGGGCATTGGGCAGGGTTTTGAGCGGAGTAGTGGCGTGCAGGTCGGACTCCAGGGCGCAGCTGACGGTGGCAACCCTGGTGCTGGAGGTCAGCCAGGCGACGGTCGACCTAGTTGTGAGGCTTTTGGTAAAACAGATATTGGGCCTGAAGTCGCGGGAGAATCCGCAAGGTGCAAGCAAGAGGGTGCGGCAGTTGTATTCCCTTTCAGTAGTGCTGGTGTATCACCCAACGCGTCCATGCAGCAATTGTTTCAGGCATTGCAGGAAGCGAATAGGCAGATTGCGGAGCTGAAGGCAGCACCAAGGCCCCTGGGAAATTCTGCTGGAGTAGGAATGCCAGTTCCACCTCTGCAGGCGATATCCAGCGAGCTACCCTCCTAGGAACCTGAGCCCGTGTGTGTGGCGGAGAGTGCTGTACAAGGACCGCCCATCGCTAGGAGACATGGGATGCCATCTGCCACGAATTTGAGGGTCAGTTGCCCTTCCCCAACCCGTAAATCTGTTTCCCTGCATGCCTTGCTTCGCATCCATCTCTGTTTGCCCCGTTCAAAGCATGCTGTGCTCCCCAAGCATTTTAATTTGCACCTTCCCTTCATGCCTTGCATTGCATCCATCTCTGTTTGCCTCATTCAAAGCATGCACTGCTCCCGTTGCATCCTAATCTGCACCTTCCCTGCATGCCTTGCTTCGCATCCATCTCTGTTTGCCCCGTTCAAAGCATGCCGTGCTCCCCAAGCATCCTAATTTGCACCTTCCCTGCATGCCTTGCATTGCATCCATCTCTGTTTGCCCCATTCAAAGCATGCCCTGCTCCCCATGCTTCCCAATTTGCACCTTCCTTGCATGCCTTGCATTGCATTCATCTCTGTTCGCCTCATTCAAAGCATGCCCTGCTCCCCATGCATCCTAACCTGCACCTTTCCTGCATGCCTTGCAGTGCAGTCATCTCTGTTTGCCCCATTCAAATCATGCCGTGCTCGCCATGCATCCCAATTTGCACCTTTCCTGCATGCCTTGCAGTGCAGTCATCTCTGTTTGCCCCATTCAAAGCATGCCCTGCTCCCCATGCTTCTCAATGTGCACCTTCCCTGCATGCCTTGCATTGCATTCATCTCTGTTTGCACCATTCAAAGCTTGCCCTCCTCCCCATGCATCCTAATTTGCTCCTTCCCTGCATGCCATGTTCCATGTTTTCCCTTCCGTTGAATACTTCATTAGCTCTACATCGAGGATACCAGGAATCGCATGTGCATGGAAGCTGACGACAACGAAATCAATTTCTACCCATCTTTTGAGAAGAGGATCTTGGTCTTGCACGCGGTCATATCAGAGAACTACATAGTGTCTTTGATTCAGTTGAAAGAGGTCATGCAGGACCAGAAACGCATTGAAACTTTCAAGCGTGTTTGGACGCAATGGAAGAACGAGCGCACCTTCTATATCAAAAGGGCGGTGCTCGAGGCCCTGGGGGTGGCAGTTAGTGGGCTGCGTGCATCAGAGTTACACATCGACGTGGAATTGAAGTGCGATCTTTGGGGCACCTACTGCCCAAGTGAGTATTCCATCGCACAATGCCTTGTATTGCATGATTTTGGGGGGGTTACACCCCCAACCCCCTTCCCTGGTCACTGTTTCTCTCTTACCCTTTCCCGTTTTCCTTCGACCGACCAGATTGGCCTGCCAATGCCCCACCTGTCCCCTCCCCAACCCCCTCCAAACCCAACTGCTGCAGCTGCCGATGATCCACTAAGCACATGGGGGAATGATGAGGAGTCCGGCCTCCCATTCGCCAACAAGTGCTTCTTCGATGCTGCCATGGATGCCTTTGGTGAATATGCTGTGGGGACAAAGTTGTGCATCAAGGCGTATCACATTGCGTGGATTATCATGGTGGTGAGCAGATTCTTTCTCCCTCTCATTGTCCCCAATTCATTGTGTTCTTCTACCCCATTCCTTGCTTGGGTTTCAACAAATGTTTCAATTTGCTTTCCATCCTTGCATGCCATGCACGGTGCTCCCAATACTTCACTGTTTCCCCCTTTGAAACATGATCCACAAATCCCTCCAAACTCCATCACTGTACAGATCGATTACGGATTGTCAAAGACAACAAGACGACAATGAACCTCACCAACTCCCACCGTAAGAACACCAAATGGGTGACAAGCATCCGCGCCCTTGTGAAAAGGGTGGTGAGGGATCACTTCACCCAGGCCAGTCCGACCTACAACCCCCGCATGAAGGGTTTCGAATGGGGGCCATTTGGCCTTTTTGTCCACGAGTCGGGCTTTGAGGAGTATAGGGCCACACCAAGCACCCGCACTCCGGTGGGGAGGGTGGTTGCTTGACTGAACTAGAGTGGAAGTTGCAACGAAGAGGAGCAGCGGGTTGTAAACAGTGCGAGAGGCAGAGAAAGGTGGAGTGGGGAGACACGGGGACGCAGCAGTGGAGGGGTAAGCTGCAGAACTGGTGTGGGGTGTGCTGTGGAGGAGTAGCAGTAGGGAGAGTATGAGATGGACAGCAAAAAGGGAAGCTATGTTGAGCTGTGAGACCGCAGCGGAGCAGCGGGGTATGGCAGCTGTGAGAGGCAGTAGGTATTTGCTTGGGGGCAGCAATGCTGTGATGCTGGGAGGAGCAGGAGTGGAGTGTGCAGCAGTGGAACAGCAAACAGGAAATCAGAGTAATAAAAACAGAGGGGGTATGGGAGAAGGACCAGCAGCAGATGAAGTAGAGCAGTCACAGCAGTGGGATGAGCGGAGAAGGGGTAGCAGCGGGTCAAGCAGAGTAATGACAGCAGGGTGGGAACGGAAAAGGACAGCAGCGGGGGAAGAAGAGCAGCCACAACAGTGGGGGGAGCTCCAAAGAGGCAGCAGTGCGGGAAGCAGAGTAGACACAGAGCATTTGGGGAAGCGGAGAAGGGGCAGCAGGGGGAGCAGAGTAATCACAACAGTGGGGGGAGTGGAGAAGGGGCAGCAGTGGGGGGAGCAGAGGAGTGGCAGCAGCTTGTCAAGCAGAGTAGTTACAATAGGGGGGAGCAAAGAAGGGGCAGCAGCGGGGAAGGAGAGTAGTCACAACAGTGGGGGGAGCTCCAAATAAACAACAGCCAGGGGAGTAGAGTAGTCACTGAGCAGTGGGGGACGAATAGAAAGGGCAGCAGCTGGGGAGCAAAGGTCTCCGCAGTGTGGGGAGCGGAGAAGGGGCAGCAAGGAGGGAACAGAGAAGTCACAACAAGGGGGGGAGCGAAGAAGGGGCAGCAGTGGGAGAAGAAGAGTATGTATTCAGTGGGAGAGGCGAAGAATCACAGCAGCAGGTCAAGCTTAGTAGTCACAACAGGTGGGGAGCAAAGTTGAGGAAGCAGCGGGGGAAGAAGAGCAGTCACAACAGTGGGAAGAAGAGCAGTCACAGCAGCCAGGGGAGTAGAGTAGACACAGAGCGTTTGGGAAAGCGAAGAAGGGGCAGCATAGGTCACAGCAGTTAGGAACTCCAGGCCAACTAGTGCGATAGGAGACGAGTAGGGGATTGCAGCAGCAAGTCAGATTACCAGTAGAAGGCAGTGACAATGTGACAATAGGAGACTAGATGCAGGGATATGAAGCAAAAGGAATGTTGTAGCGTTTTTAATTCCTATTTTTCTGATTTTTGCGAGCACACATCGTATGTCGGTGGGATCCATGGAAAAGGATGTTTGGTGTTGGGTCGAGGCATTATCGAACCTTGTGCAAGGTGTAATTATGGCTGTGTACAAGGTAAAAAAACATACATGATGCCCTTTTCCAACTGTATAATTTACAGGCATTGACACTCTGCTAAACTATGTCAAAATCCAATTCAAACATGTAACAAAACACAGCAAAGCACCATTTTTACACCGCATAAATGTCAATAGGTGTCACCAACATGTCCATAACAAGGTTTCCAAAGCCCCAATAGAACTTCCCTCGCATGTATTCAGAACCATTTCAGAACCTGCCAATCATACGAAAATCATCTGACACATCATTTGAAAAAAGTTCGATACTTTCTTCTAAAAAAGTTTGAACCCCTACATTTTGAAAACATTCGAACAAAGTCTTCAAACACACATCATGTATAGTATTCAGATAGTTGATTTTTGTGATGGAGCTGGAACGCGGACCTGAATTCGAACACAGAGAATGGAGACTAGCAACTTCAATAACTTACTACCGCACGTATATTCAAGCCGGCATCCCGCGATGTCTCCTAGCATGCTCTTAGACTGGTACTTGCGACAGATTTGCTCGCGATGGCGAAAAAGCTACCAACAGGATCCACGCCATGGCTCGGGTGAACACAAACGGAGAGGTGAGGGTGTCTGGTCAAGTTTACGGTGTAAACCTCGGGAAGTTGGAAAACCCTTGATGAACAGAAGTGTTCACCTTGTTCACACAATTTTGTTAAACCCTCCCTCAACACTTTACCTAAAAACTGTAGATATGGATGACAACAATCAGTGGAGTGAGGGCCTCGAGATGCCGCGGAGACTGCAGGCAGTCTGCCCTATCGAACCACACAATTTCCTCCAGTACGCATGCGTTCCTGAAAGGACAGTCCCACCGCACACACTTGACAGACAGCCTTAGTGCACTGGTTGTGCGGGCTTCCTGGCAGAGCTTGTTGTGTTTTGTGTCTGTCTGTGGAAGGGTGCTCGTTCGTGATTTGCGGCTGCCTGCTCCATTTGGCATTGTTCAGCGCCTAGTTCCAATTTTCGGCGGCTACGTGTTCTAAATGCTCCCTAATTTTTCCCCCGAAACCTTCTACACTTAATGCTCGTTTGAGTCTCCACTACTTGGGTTGTGCTCTGGGCTTATAAACGTTTTTGGCATTTCACCCAGTTCGTTCCATTTCGCCAGGGTGTTGAGGTGCTTCTAAAAAAGACAGGTTGTCATTTGTTTCTTCCAAAACAGTTCTGGTGTGCCTGTGTTGTTGCTAGTTCAGGGTTTAGGGTTTATGCTTGTTTCTGGCCAAGAAACAAGAACAAACCGGGTCAGCATGGTTTGTTTTGCGCCTAAGATTCATGCTTTGGCGTTTTCTCGCAAGGCCCACGTTATCAGGGCAAAACATCCTGATTACCCTGAATTCAGGATGCAGTTCTGTATTTACCCTGTCATTTCAGAATAGTTTCAATTTCAACCCTGAGGTCACATGATGTTCTTATCTGAAATGACCTGAACATTCAGGATGGCCGTAGTGTTCCACCCTGTAGCGTCAGGATGAATGTCGAGGCCTGCACTGATGCGGATTTTGGGGGGGGGGGGGGGGGGGGGGGGGGGGGGTTCCGTTTCGGGGGGAATTTTTTCCCCGAGGATTTTTGTCACCGTTGAAATTTTCCCCCGTGTATGTTTCCCGCCTTCGCACGACCTCTTCCCCTTGACAGTTCTGTTCCGATCCCCCGCTACACTAGCCAAGGCAAACCCTTCACCCACCGCCAAGGCAACTCGTCCTGTGCCTGGCTAGCTCTAGCTGGGTTTCTCACGCTGACGTTCAGTAGCGCTCCATCCAACACCCTTCCATTCCAGTGTTGCTGTTAGAGTAGCAGCAGCACTAGTAGTGAAGTTCGGCTGGATGATGGCAAACGAGGACGATGGCGCGGCGCCAGCATCACGGGGTCTAACCGGATTAGATTTTTTGCGTCCAGTTAGAGTTGTGTCCGCCTTACCAACAGGTTCACCTGCAGCTGGATCATCTCGTACTCCCGCAGTCACACCAGCCTATGCTAGTACAAACGGCACCAACATTGTACCACCTGGTGCGACACGCATCGGCCCTGCCGCGACTGCTAAGTTAAGAGCGACCAAGCACAAACAGTCGCGCTTGTCGTTCTCTCGCGATAGTCCCACGGAACCCACCGCTCGTGTCCGCTTAGCGCCAGCTTTACCAGGACCATCGGCCGTTCCTGCAGCAACTTCGTCCACCGAGGAACTGCGCGATGAGGCAGAGGATAAATACCAGCAGGCTCTTATGAAGTACAAACAGGAGTGGTCAACTGATTTCCCGTGGCTCGTGCTTTGTCAAACATCTTACGGTTTCCCATCAGTGAGGTGCACTTTGTGTATCAAGCACGCAGGGCACGGCACAAACTACGGCGCAGCTGGCGAAGGTGCCGTCGATGTCCAAACACAGGCGTTCCGCACGCATCAAAGCTCCAGGAAGCACAAACGGTCCATCAAGAGACAGGCCCAGGCGGACAAGGCGGCTGAGAAGCAGCAGCGCATCATCGACTGCCCGAAGGCTGGAGACACCCAGCGTGTAAGGGTCATCGCTCTGCTGCAGACCCTGCTGTTCATCTGCAAATGTGACGCACCGATTGAGATGTGGGTTCAATTGGTTTGGCACCTTGCAGAGCGACAGACACCAGGCTTCCCCAAGAATGGCTACGGTGCTTAGTACACCAGGTGAGCCATATTCAACAATAGCTGCTATACCCGAGAAACTTTGTATGGAGGTGGATCACAACTATCCCACTGTTGCTAACCCTCAGTTCCTTCTTTCCTTGGATGCAGATATGGGTTTGCAGAGCTCATCGCATGCACTGCAGCCTATCTCCGTGCAGGTCAGCAAGTCTGGTTGGAGTCTAGTCCATTCATCGGACTAACCTGTGACGAGAGTACAGATCGTGTGCATGGCAAACACCAGATCGTGTTTGCCACGTTTCTCCGTGACTCTCGTGTAGTCACGGAGTTCGTCGGTCTACTGACGGTGGAGAAATGCGATGGCGCTTCGTTGCTTTCCCTCCTGCTGACCCTCCTTGACTCACTTGGAATCGACAGGAGCAGGGTGGCCGGGATTAGCACGGATGGCGCAGGTGCGATGATGGGTTGCACCAACGGCCTGGTGGCTCGGCTGCGTGTAATGGTCCCGCACCTCTTCTCCAGCCATTGCATTGCACATCGGTGTGTAATACCTCTTGCCTATGTGTGTTGCATCTACATGCCCATCACGTTGCAGCAGCGAATGTAAGGCAGGCTGGCGCTCGCATGATCTAAAGCTCATGCCATTCCCCCCCCTTTCCCTCTCTTAAACCTTCCCTCCCCTTCTCTTGTGCCCACATCATGTCGTGCAGAGAGGCGCTGGCCGCCAAGGACGCCGCCACTGCAGTCCCTGATCTCGGCCTCATCGACTATGTGCTGAAGGAGCTCGCGGAATACCTAGGAAGGTCGCAACCCTCCCACAATGACTTCCAAGAGCTGCAGGAGGTGTTCTGCAAGACGAACCTGGAACTGCAGGGAATCCACTCCGTTCGTTGGCTGAGCCGCGGCGATGCCATCGCGCGCTTGGTGTGTGTGCTCCCTGCCGTCATCGTGCTCCTGTGGGAGTGGGAAGACGACTTCTACCACATTGTGACTTCAGTGAAGTTCAATGTGTATCTTTACTACCTCGCCAACATGCTAGAGCTCCTCAACAGCCTCAACCTTGAGTTTCAAAGGCGGGAGGTGAGTAGCCGTTGTAAGCCCGAGACTCGTAGCATTGTTGTTTGTATGGTCCTTGTTGAAACTGTACCTTGTCATGTTGCAGGTCGACATGACTTCGGTGCAGTCGACCGTGCGCCACACCCTGATCACCATCCGTACGCGCTACATCGAGTGCAGCGGCGATGACTTTGGTGGCGGCCCGTAGCTACATCTCGGGGCCTTCCTAGCCAGGCTCAAAAAGTCCCCGAAAATCACAGTGGCAGGTGTGGACAAGGAGGGGGAGAAGCGACAACATAGCTTCGACCTGCACGAGGAGGCTTTGACGGGCTACAGCAAGACCCCGGATGACTTGCAGTCGTGCCTCGACGTCTGCCGCCGCCACGCCAATTCGACGCTCACCCACCTCCAGAAGAGGCTGGGGGATCTCGACAGCCTGAACGGTGTCCGGCTTTTCATGCCAGACACGTACCATGAAGACAAGGAGGGACGCGCTGAGGAGTGCCGCGAGCACCTTGAGACTCTCGTCAACTTGTTCCATGCCCGCGAGCGCGCAGACATTCTCCCGGGTAAGCACTAGTGTTCTGTTCCTACTCGTTGTGTCCTATGTCCACAATCTCCCAATTTCTGTCCCTGCTATGTATGTATCTAACAATCTGACTTGGTCTGCCCCTCCCTCCTTTCACTGTTATGTGTGTTTTGCGTGGCAGGTGTGGACAAACGTGCAGCCAAGAAGGAACTGAGGACTTTTGTCCCTGTTCTGGCTGGCGCTCCCAAAGGCGAGCGCACATTTCAACGCGGACTGGCGGCCATGCTGCGAACGAAGGACTGGGAGCGGAGCTACCCCAACCTCGTCCGCCTCTGGACAGCGGTGGCTGTCCTGCCGCTCAGCACCGTTGAGTGTGAGCACGGCTTTAGCCGCTAGAACGTGATTAAGTCCTGGCAGAGGACCAGCCTCTGTGATGCCAGGCTCAGTGACTTGATGTGCCTGAGCCTAACTGAGTATGACATGGAATGGGGCAAAGTTGTGGATTTGTGGCGCAGCAGCAAGAAGAGGAGGCCTATTAAGAGAAGGGAGCAGCAGAGGAAGGCGGGGAAGGGGAACGGCTTGGAGGACGGACAAGAAGCAGATACTGAACATGGCAGCGGCAGCAGCAGCGACAGTGGGTTTAGTAGCAGCAGCGAAGATGATGATGAGGAGGAGGAGGGCTAAGAGGTGGTGCAGGAGTTAATTGCCCAGTAAAACACCAACCATATGTGCGCTGGAGCGCTGCGGCTGCTCTGCTATGCTAAACAGAGTCTGGTCTGGTCTGTGTGTGCTAAAATCAGAACCTTGAACACCATTATTTTTGCCCTGACAGGTCAGGATTAGTTGCTGCAAAAGCCCTGACCAATCAGGAAGGCTCTGAAGATTTGCCCTGAGAAATCAGGGCATTTTTTAAGATTCTAGAAAAGTGCCCTGAGGGCTCAGGGTGCCCCAAAACCTAGCACGGGCCCTGTTTTCTCGCCCAAATGCAAGTCGATCTGCGTGCCTATAACCTAGGTGCAACTGACTGGGAAAAAAAACACGGGTGCAGAGTTTCTGAAATGGGCAAGGAAAATTCGCGTGCAGTGGTTGGGCATCATGTGTATGTAATTCTCACCAAAACCAGAAGAAGGAATCAAAACAGAGAGAGGTTGCTGGTGGAACTGGTAATCCATGTAAGCTCTTAACAATCTGGTGAAACTCTGTCCCGAATGCAAAACAAAAACAGAAAACAAAAACGCTCTGTCCTTTTTCCTTTCGTGGTTAGGTTATATCTCTGTGAGTACACCCACCTATTCGTTTGATGCACCCGCGATTGTGCCACGAGCTCGGTACGTTCACATAGAAGGTTGGGAGCGATGCGTTTATGTCACATAGAATCGATTCACACGCGTGATCAGTTCAGCATTGAATTGCTAAACGTTAAAGAAAATTGGTGGCAGAGCACTACAGTTAAACCCATTCGCGCTAAAGACGAGGCCAAATCTACTAGTCATGATTAGGTCAGGCCGGCCTACAGTTGCAAAAATGTAAGGGAAGGGACGGCAAGGGACGGCAACACACAAGGAAATGTGACTCGCGGACGTTAAAAGCACCGGGCAAAAATTACAAGCACCTCCGACCGAAACGCGCTTGGTGAGATAATCGAATAAGTGGGTGTATCTGCGGGCATTCGAAACACCCAGATTTCTGCCAAGAAGCAGTCCAATCCCTGAGCTTGGACATTCCTAAGGAAATCACAATGACGTCGACGTGTCATGACGGTTATTGGACATATCTTGTTTAAAGGCGGGGTGCAACTTCTTATGAACAGTAGGGGGACAAAAATGGCATGTGAATAACTTGAATTCTATTGGACGAAAAAACTGGAAAACCAGAAGAGGACAAACTTCTCGGCTCTGAACTGCCTGGGTCAACCTCTTCCAAGCTATAATACTTTGAAGTTGAAGTTGATAGTTGGGCCACGGCTTTAAATCTCCAACAACTGTGTGGACGTGCTTGGTTTGCGCATACAACGACTCGACAAAGGTGGCCCATGACGCAATTTCAGCACCACTCATCGTTACCTTCGCACGTGTGGGTCGAGGCTCAAGGGGCGCAGCCACAAATTGCACAGCCAACGAGAACAATGACTGACCTGGAGCTGACAGGGGAGAAGCGATTCGGACTGGGCGTACGTGTCAGCAAAAAAGACTAGACCCTTATTCGCGCATGTCGAATGAGGTCAAAGTTCTGCGTTGTCTGCAAGACTGACCAGACCATGAGAATATGTAAAACAGCATTAGCAGAAGAAAAATGGCATGATTTATTCTTGTGCCCTATCGTATTAAGCTAATAAATGAATACTTAACAATGGCGAAAGTCACTCATATCGAATATTTAAAACACTGCAAACAAATATAGGAAATAATGAGGAGTATAACATAAAACTTAAAGCATAACATAACTAAAGTGGCCAACGAAACATGCCCTCACACAAATTAAAGCCCGGGTACAGCATGGTATTTTTCAAGTTCAATATTCTTGAACTTGAAGTTGCCAAAAATAGGGTTACCCTCTTTGGTTTGAAACACAACTCGCGAGGCAGGGGAAAACTCTTGCGACGGTCGATCCTGGTTGGTTTCTGAGCCCAGTCACACAACAGATCCGACCATCACTCACTAGGTTGCCCCGATCTCCTCTCACATATCTTGAAGACCAAGTAGTACTCCTAGCTCACTAGGCTACTCGCGTAACTAGGAAACGCACGGCAGGGTGATAAAGACTAGCTCTGATAGAGGCGTTTTTTTCCATCCAACTCTACTCACTCACGCTGTCTTGCCAATAGCTGAGCAGCACAACTTCATGCCAAACACGCTATTACCGCACCATTTTCGCATGCCAGACCCGGAACGCCCGTTCTTGCGCACGACACGCGCAGTGCTCGTAAATGGCATTCCCGAGTCGCTAGTCGCGATCCCGCTTACATTCCCTCCTGTCGTTCGATCCCTGTTAGAATATAGGTTTAGCTAGGGCCTAGGCTTAGGAGCCTAGGCCCAAGGAGGATCGAGGAAGTTTGTGCCTAGGAGGGAGAGGAGAAAGAGAGGAGAATGATTGTTCACTATAGCACTAGGGTACATATAGCAAACAAAGAGGTGCACCACCTATAAAGTTAATATCTACACTACAGCTAGAACTACATGCAGGTATAAGAATATAATTCTGACATCCCCCCATAACTGCATGCAAGAATAGCTAAGTGCAAAACACAACCTGCAGGGGTACACCACAGACAGAGAAAACAGCAACAGTAGGCAAGGTAACAGAGCAGGTACAGCAGCAAAGGGGCAGGCACTCCTGCCACCCCTTAACTCTCCTCCCCCCCCCCCCACCTTATAGGGACGGGGGCTGGTTGGTCTTACACCCGCCACCCCAATGCCACTCCCCTGGCTCCCCCACACCCTCACACCCTCCCCCCAGCGGTAGCTGCAGCAGTGGGAATGAAAGGAGGAGGAGGGGAAGGGAAACACACCACCCATCACCCCTACACCCGCCACCTCCAGACCCTCCCCCCCACGGCTACAGGGAGACGAAGGAGGGGGGAGGGGGGGGGAAGGGGGGGCGGGGATAAAGCCGCAGAGCGGCTACAGAGGGTCGACGCGCTGTAGGGCAGGGGCGGCTGCAGTGAGTGCAGGCGTGGGGTGAGGTAGAGGCGCCGTCGCGGGCGCCAGGGGCGGGTCCGCAGCGGCTCAGGGCACCGTCGCGGGCGCCAGGGGCGGGTCCGCGGCGGCGCAGGGCACCGTCACGGGCGCCAGGGGCGGGTCCGCAGCGGCTCAGGGCACCGTCGCGGGCGCCAGGGGCGGGTCCGCGGCGGCGCAGGGCACCGTCACGGGCGCCAGGGGCGGGTCCGCAGCGGCTCAGGGCACCGTCGCGGGCGCCAGGGGCGGGTCCGCGGCGGCGCAGGGCACCGTCACGGGCGCCAGGGGCGGGTCCGCGGCGGCTCAGGGCACCGTCACGGCCGCCAGGGGCGGGTCCGCGGCGGCTCAGGGCACCGTCGCGGGCGCCAGGGGCGGGTCCGCGGCGGCACAGGGCACCGTCGCGGGCGCCAGGGGCGGGTCCGCGGCGGCGCAGGGCACCGTCTCGGGCGCCAGGGGCGGGTCCGCGGCGGCTCAGGGCACCGTCGCGGGCGCCAGGGGCGGGTCCGCGGCGGCTCAGGGCACAGTCGCGGGCGCCAGGGGCGGGTCCGCGGCGGCTCAGGGCGCCGTCGCGGGCGCCAGGGGCGGGTCCGCGACGGGCAGAAAAAACGTCACGCGCCACCCGGGCGCGGGACAGAACAAAAATCGCCACGCGCCCGAGGCGCGCGACTGGAAAAACAGCAGCGGAAGCGAGAGGCTGGCCCACAGGCCAGAACTTAACAGGCTCTGATAGCATGTTAGAATCTAGGTTTAGCTAGGGCCTAGGCTTAGGAGCCTAGGCCCAAGGAGGATCGAGGAAGTTTGTGCCAAGGAGGGAGAGGAGAAAGAGAGGAGAATGATTGTTCACTATAGCACTAGGGTACATATAGCAAACAAAGAGGTGCACCACCTATAAAGTTAATATCTACACTACAGCTAGAACTACATGCAGGTATAAGAATATAACTATGACAATCCCTACCATCACTGATCACTCGTCCCTCTTTACCTGCCGCCCTCGCTTCCTCTCTTGTCGTCGTTTTCGTTGCCCGTCGTCCCTCTCCATCACCCTCGCGTCTCCTGCTGTCGGCCACGCTAGGTCCATACTAAGCCTTCCGCGTCACCCTCGTCTCCCCTGGCCGTCGCCCTATTTCGCCTCGTCGACCGTAATTCCCCTTGAAAAAGCGTTCTTCTTAAAATCAATCTTGTTTTTTTTTTCACATATACATATATATTTTAGTCGCCCGTAAATCCCCGCTTCGCCCGTAATTCCCCTGTCCCCCTCGTCTCTCTCGCTTTCCTTCGTCGCCCGCAATTCCCCACGCCGCCCGCGATTCCCCAGGATGCCGTCTCCCACGTTTCCCCCCGACGCCCGGCTTTCCCACCACGCACCACACGCCTTCCCCCCCGCATACACCACCCATCTTCTTCTCCCCACACCACCTGCCTTCCCCCACGCACAGCACCGACCCTCCTCCCCCCCACATACCTGCCCTCCTCCCCCACACGTACCCGCCCTCCTACCCCCCACATACCCGCCCTCCTCCCCCACACGTACTCGCCATCCTCCCCCCCACATACCCGCCCTCCTCCCCCACACGTACTCGCCATCCTCCCCCCCACATACATGGGACAGAGGAGGAGGGTGAGAGGGGGAGGGGGAGAGGGGGAGGGAGAGAGGGGGAGGGACAGAGGGACGGAGACAGTGGGGGAGGGAACGAGGGGGAGGGGGAGAGGAGGAGGGAGAGAGGGGGAGGGAGAGAGGGGGAGGGAGAGAGGAGGAGGGAGAGAAAGGGATGGACAGAGGGGGTTCGAAATATGGTGTTGGATGGGAGGGGGTTGGATGGATTGTGTGAGACGGGGAGATGATTTGAAATTGGGTGATGGTGTGAGATGGAGGGATTGTGTGCGATGGAGGGATGGAGCATGGGATGAGATGGCATAGTCTGCAAATTATGCTGCAGGGTGTTTTTTAGAATTCTCTAAAACACCCTGCTCACTCCCGTCCTCTCTTCCTCGGCCCCCACACCATCCTCCCTCCAGCTCTCTCCCCGTCATTTGCCCCCGTTCCCCCGACCCCCTTCCCTGCTTCCCCCTATCCCCTTCCCTGCTTCCCCCCATCCCCTTCCCTGCTTCCCCCCATCCCCTTCCCTGCTTCCCCCCATCCCTTTCCCTGCTTCCCCCCATCCCCTTCCCTACTTCCCCCCATCCCCTTCCCTGCTTCCCCCCATCCCCTTCCCTGCTTCCCCCCATCCTCTTCCCTGCTTCCCCCCATCCCCTTCCCTGCTTTCCCCCATACCCTTCTCTCTCTCAGTCCTTTCGCACTCTCTCTCCGTCCTCTCGCACTCTCACTCTCCTTCCCACCACCCTCAGCCCTCCTTCCCCCCACCCTCTGCCCTGTTCCCACCTGCCCTCCCAATCCTTGCCTTTCCCTCCCTGCCCTACCCTTCCCTTCCCCATCCCTTCTCAACCCTTCCGTCCTTTTCATGCCCTCCCCTTCCCCCTCATTTCTCACTTTCCGCCCTCTAGTTCCCATGCATTTGCACCCATCCATCACTGTTTCCCCATACATGATTTCATCGTGTGCGCTTGCTTGTATCCCCTCTTAGAAACTAGGCAGGAATGGGATTGACTATCGAGAGGATTGTACAAGAAGTAGAACCTAAGGGGTTATACCCCCCATTATCTACCCCACTACAGCCTACCCACAAATATAACATATGCATATGTTTGACACACCCCCATAGGCAAAGTGGGGGAGAGCAAGATGTCAAGAAAAGCAAAGCAAGCTCAGGGTGAATCACAACGTCACCACACACACTGAGCACAAGCAAAAGGCCACACGGCCAGTTCACATGCAGAGGTATATATGCAACAAGAACAGTACAGTAATCTCTACCTAGCAAGAGCAAGCATGCAGGTATATATATATAGACCACAGTACAAGCAGAGTCTACAGCAAGTGTGGAAACGTAGGCACAAGGCCCAACAAAGTACAAAAGCGCTGATGGTCACCAGACGGAATTGCCTTGGTGAATATATCACCAGTGTTGTCCCGAGTGGCCACGTGAGCAAGGTGAAGCTGACCCCGCTGCTGCAACTCTCGAGCCAGGAAGTAACGCAGAGCGATGTGCTTCGTTCTGTGCTCCAGTCTGTGCTCCTCACACAAGGCAATGGCGGACTTGTTGTCGACGTACAGAACTGGAGGAGAACGAGGCCTCTCTCCCAAGTCGGTCAGTAGGTAGGTGAGCCAGCGTAACTCCTAAGCAGCCATGGCTGTGGCGTAGATCTCAGCCTCACAACTGGAGCTGAGAACAGAAGACGAGCGAGTAGAACGCCAAGAAACAGAACCGGAGCCAAGGTTGAAAGTGTAACCCTGTGACGACTGCTGTGTAGCCTGGTCGTCAACCCAAGAAGCGTCTGAGTGCCCAGTGAGGACAACTGGACTCCGCCCTCCAAGCACGAGCCCCATGCCCGATGTACTGCACAAGTAGCGCAGTACCCTCTTAGCAGCATCCATGTGCACCTTTCGGTGCCGACCAGGAGCCACGTAGCGAGCCAGAAGGCCAAGAGGGTACGCGAAGCCTAACGAGTGCAGGTCATCAGGTACATGAGGCAGCCAACTAGCTCTGGGTAAGGACCACTCGGCTCTACGGACTTGTCTGAAGGTGGAGCTGAGAGCGAGTGACCTGTAGGTAGAGGAGTGGCCTGTGCCGAGGACTAGGTGAAGCCGAAGCGCTGAAGGACCTGTTGCACCATGTGTGACAGAGTCAGTGTGATGGTGCGGCATGCTCTGTCCCGGGTGATCTGCAAGCCAAGGTAACTGCGCAACTCACCCAGGTCTGTCCACGTGTGTCTCTTCTGCAGCTCCGACTTCACCAGGGCGAGAGCCTCAGTGTCAGCAGTGGCAAAGACCAAGTCGTCAACGTACACGAGGATGTAGAACGGCGGCAACGAAGTGTCGGTGCGCAGAAACAGCGACGGGTCAGCAGTCGATGGAGCAAACCTAAGAGCCGCAAGTGTCGTCCTCGGTGTGACGTGCCACTCACGTGGCGCCTGGCGGAGACCGTAGACCGGCCGCCGGAGGCTCCACTGGATACCAGAAGGGAAAGACCCAGTGAAGCCAGGCGGGCGGCGCAGCTAGATCTCCTCGTGCAGGCTGCCCTGTAAGAAAGCTGTGCTGAAGTCAAGAGAGTGAAGCTCGTAGATACACTAAGCGGCAACGTGCAGCAGCACCCGAAGAGTAGTCATCTTCGGGGTGGGGGAGAAGGTCTGGAAGAAGTCAACTCCCTCTCGCTGACTGAAGCCTCGAGCAACGTAACAAGCCTTGAAGATAGGCGGAGAACCCGGCGGCCGCTTCACCCTGAAAATCCACATGTCATCGACGATGTTCGCCCCAGGAGGGGGAACCTCATCGACGTAGGTGCCTGTGGACTTCCATGATGCCATCTCTGCGTCCATGGCTGTCTGCCACTGAGAGGAGTACTCACCCGCGATCGCCTCAGCGTAAGAGCGCGGGGTCGGGATGTCTGGTGCATCCGGGTCTCCCTCAGGGGCAAGCAGCATAGCCACGAGATGAGGCGCAGCGGCCGCAAGACACTCAAGGTCCTCCTGTCTGTCCTCAAGGACGTCCGTGCTAAGAGCACACTCACCCCTGACGGACGGAGGACAAACAGACTCAGACTCAGCAACAAGACTAGCAGCGTAGTCTAAACGACAGGCAGCAGCAAAGTCAACCAGCTCAGTGACAAAGGCAGACGCAGCAGCAGACTCAAACGACGGGTCAGTGACAACAGTGGCTAGCAAACGTGTGACAGTAGGGTGCTCGGCACGAAACCTGTCAGACTCAGGGTCCGCAACGACAGGCAGAGAAGATGTAGGAGGAGACGGCAGAGGAACGCGCTGCGGAGGAGAGGAAGGACGACGGACTACGAGGTGGGTGCCGGGGACAGCCGGCTGACGCGGACGAGGAACACGACGGCCGGAACTACCAAAACGGACAGGCGAGACAGGACGCGACGCAGGCTCACGACGCTCAGTAAGACCCCCTGTCTGCTCAGTGTAAGGAGAAGGAGCGGGCAGCGGTGAGCCAGGCTGTAACGGAAGACTAGTAGACGAAGGGAGACTGAGAACCTGGCGAAGCGCAGAGTCAGGTGGTGGCTGAGACGACGGAGACGGCGGAGCGAAGAACAGGCGCGACTGTGCAGCGCCACCAGTACCAGCAGCTCCGGCACCTCCAGCAGCTCCAGTACCCTCAGCAGCTCCACCACCTCCAGCAGCTCCAGAACCCTCAGCGCTAGCTCCTCCAGGACCAGCTCCACCAGCTGCAGCACCCCAAGAACCGGCACCTCCAGTCCCAGGGTCTCCAGCCTCAGTGCCTCCAGCAGCAGCACCCCCAGACCCAGGGTCTCCAGCAGTAGCACCCTCAGACACAGCACCTCCAGCCCTTGCAGCTCCAGTACCTCCAGTACGAGCACCTCCGGGACCAGCGACTCCAGCACCTCCAGTAGACAAAGGACCAGCACCACTCCCAGCTCCAGTGACGTCAGCAGAAGGACCTCCAGCAGCAGAGCCCCGAGCTCCAGAAGCGCGACCCTGACGGCGACCGTACCAGTCGTGCAGCTGCTGTGAGGTGAGAGGCACACGCGGACGAAGGCGGCTACTCCAAGGAGACCGCGTAACAGTAGTCTCAGAACCCTCAGGCGTCGCACCCCCAGACTCAGTACCCCCAGGCTCCTCTCGCACAGGCTCAGCACCCCCAGACGCAGCACCCCCAGGCTCAGGACCTCCAGGCTCCTCACGCGCAGGCTCAGCACCTCCAGGCTCCGCACCCTCAAGCTCCTCACGCTCAGGCTCAGCACCCCCAGACTCCGCACCCCTAGTCTCAGCACCTCCTGGGTCCTCACACTCAGGCTCCCCACCCCCAAGCTCAGCACTCCTATGCTCCGCACCCCCAAGCTCCGCACCCCCAAACTCCGCACCCCCAGGGACAGCACCACCCCCAGCAGGACCTGAGTCACCAGTAACCTCAACAGGCGCAGGCACGGGAGGGTCTACCTGAGAGACACCTGAAGGAGCACGACCTGGCGCAGGGAGGGGGTCTACCTGGGGAGGACCTGGGGCGAGAAAGAGCGGCGGGGGGGGGGCGAGGGGCAGTGCGGTAGGGAAAGAGACGGTAAAAGGGAACAGACTCGTCAAAGGTGACGTCCTGAGACGGAAAGACACGACGCGAGGCGGGGTCGTAAAACTGTTAGCCAGGCCCGTCAGGGACAAAGCCAAGGAAGACGCAGGGAATGGCGCGAGGGGAGAGCTTGTCCGCGGTGGTATTGCGGACAAAGGCACGAGCACCCCAGACCCGGAAACGCGACGCATCGCCAACCTTCATCGTCCACAGCAATGTGGGCGAGGTCTCCGGCAAGGAGACACAGGGCCAGAGGTTGAGCTGATGCGCGGCGTACCGGACCGCAAACGGCCACAGAAAATGGGGGACAGCCGCATGGATCATGGAGGTACGAGCGACCTCCATGACTAAGCCAATGCGGCGCTCTGCAACCCCATTCTGCTGCGGAGAGGCCGGAAGCGTGAACGTCTGGCGGATGCCGTGCTCCGCACAGAAGGCTGCTAGGAGGTCTGAGGAGAACTCACCACCTCTGTCAGAGTGCAGACGCAGGACAGGAAAGTCCGACTGGAACCGCTCGCGGAGCTGGAGACGAACAGCGCGGATCCAGGGGATCAAAACACCAGGGACCTCCGCCTTGCGCTGCAAGGGGAAGACCGTGGTGTAATGCGTGTAGTCGTCGATGACCAGCAGGAAGTACCGCTCGTGGCCCTGTCCACGGACGCGGGCTGGGCCCCACACGTCCAGGTGGAGAGTCTGCAGGGGAGCCTCTGTGGGAGGGAACGAGGAGGAGTGAGGAGCGGCGCGCTGCCGCCCCTCGACGCAGGGAATGCAGGGGGGCGTAGGTGAGGGAGGGAGAGCAGGCAGAGACCTGGGAAGGCCAGAGACCAGGAAGCGAGAGTGCATGCTACGAAGGCGAGGCAGGGAGGGGTGACCAAGGCGATGGTGCCACAGGAGAGTGTCGTGCGACAGGCGGCGACACTCACACTGGGTAGCTACTTGAGCAGACGCGTACAGCTGGGGAGACAAAGGGGTGGAGCGTGACGCAGTGGTGAGGGTGTACAGACTCGACCCAGGCGCACGTGTGAACGTGGCCAGGTGGCGGCCGGTCCGAGAGCACGTGCAGATCGCCACACGCTGCCCTCCAAGAGTAAAGGTGTCAACCCAATGATCCTGAAGGACGGCGTTGCTCACCAAGTTCGTGGAGAACGAGGGGAGGTGGAGACCAGACAGCTCACCAGACGGGACCACCGGACACGGAAGCACAGTGGAAGACCGTGCAAGCACTGGGCCCCCAAAGGGGTCAGCCAGTGAGACAGGGACAGGTGCAGGGAGGGGAGTGACTATGGCGCTGTCGTGAAAGAAACAGCGGGAAGCACCAGAGTCAAGTGTAAAGGTGTGCAGGGCCTGTGCGGACGCAATACCAGGGGGAGCAGACTCACAAGCACCTAGAGCTGCAGGCGCTATACCTGGGGCTATACCGGGGTCAGGCGGCACACACAAGTAGCAGTCACCCTCAGCACTAACAGTCAATGCATACATGGCAGCAAGGATAGCATCATAGTCAAGATCAAAGATAGGTACATCACGCCTAAGCAGGTCTGCCCAGTTGGGGAACTCAGTAGCATTAGGAAACTTGACGCGCCAGGCGTCGCTGAGCCGAGCTAAGCAGCGGTACTCAGTGTGAAAGCCGGTGCACTGGCGACCAGCGAAGGGACCCGCGCGAATGATATAGGGGCAACGACCAGGACCCCCAGAAGCCCCACGCCCGGCATACCAGTCATGAAGCTGCTAGGAAGTGGGGGTCTGGCGCTGACGTTGCTGCGGCTGCTGCTGCTGCTGTCCCTGGCCACCACCGGCCTCACCCAAGCCCCCACCACCGCCGCCACCACCACTCCCCCCTCCGCCACCACCGCCGCCGCCACCGCCACTGCTCCCGGCACCACCACCGCCCCCACCACTACCTCCACCCCCACGACCACCGCCACTACCTCCACTGCCCCCGCCGCCTCCACCACCACCCCCTCCACCGCCACGTCCGCCACCCCCGCCACCCTTGCCTCCCCTGAAGCCGCTGTGCTTCCCACTCGGAGCGGAAGCAGCTGCGACCTTCTCAGCACCAAGGAGGTCGACAGCAGCAGCTGCGGAGGCGTAGGAGGGGGTAAGAGGGGAGGGGGAGCACCCCTCAAAGAGGGGAGTGCGGGGAGTACCACGAGCAGCACCTACAGCTAGAATTTTCTTCTTGGCTGCTAGGAGGTGCTTCTCGAGGTCGTCAACAGTGAGAGAATGGGGGTTAAGGGCGAGGAAGTGGTCCCTGACTGAGCAAAGAGTGTCAGGGAGGCGGGTGAAGAGGAAGTAGAGAGTAAAGTACATCGGGGGGTGGTTCTCTGCGAGGAACTCGGCTGGAAGGGCGGCACGAAGGCGAGTGTCACTAGCGCGTAGGTGAGAGATGAGGTCCTCAGTGGTGGTAAACGAGGACAGGTCGGGGAACAGGTAGGGTAGCATAAGTCGACCGAGGGCTGAAGTGGCCGGGGAAGAGTAGCGGGCAACTACAGCGTCGTACCGTGCCTTGGCAGTCTTGTGCTGGCTAAAATGCGCGCGCTCTGTGATCGGCAGATGGTTGCGAATAGCTAGGCGCGCAGCAGCATCGTGGGTCTGCCACTGGGAGCGGTCTAGAGCAGGCTCAGTGTCAGCAGGAGCAACGGCAGTGCCAGACACGTAATCGAACAGGGAAACACCGTCCTTGGCATCAGTCAGAAGGAACAGTTGCAGGTCGTCGAGCCAGGTGGCGAACTCCACTGGACGACCGTCAGGATCGAACGCGAGCACGTTGAGAGTTGCCATGCTTGCAGCGCAGGTAAGACTAGTGCGCAGGCGGCAAAGCAAAGTGCAGGTCAGGAGAGGCTGCGTGCAAGGCTGCAGTGGTGGCGCACAAGCTGCAGGGGCGGCGCGCAAGTGGCTAGGGCGATGCGCAGGGCAGCAGTGGGCCGCGTGCGGGGAGGAAATGAGGGGAAGCACGGGAGGAAATGAGGGGAAGCAAGGGAGGAAAGGCAGGACAGAGAGGAAAGGGGGAAGTGCGGAAGAGAGGAAGGGTGCAAGTGAGGAGATTGAACGAGGGAGGGAACAGGGGGTTAGCATGGGAGAAGCAAGGGGGCTAGAAGGGAGGGAACAGGGGGTTAGCATGGGAGAAGCAAGGGGCTAGAAGGGAGGGAACAGGGGGTTAGCATGGGAGAAGCAATGGGCTAGAAGGGAGGGAACAGGGGGTTAGCATGGGAGAAGCAAGGGGCTAGAAGGGAGTGTCAGAATCCCAACCACTAACCACTGGGATAAAAGGGCTTGTTTGTGTAGCGGGTGAGTGCGCCCATAACCCCCCAGGCCGACGTGCCTATAACCCTTACCTAGGATCAATCGGGGATCACCATTGGACCTCTGACAACCCCCCGCAATGGGATGCCCGAAGTGCATACACCAGGATTCGAACCCGAGATTTTCGCTCTGATACCATGTCAGAATCCCAACCACTAGACCATTGGGATAAAAGGGCTTGTTAAGTAGCGGGACAGTGCGCCCATAACCCCCCAGGCCGACGTGCCTGTAACCCTTCCCTAGGATCAATCGGGGATCACCAGTGGACCTCTGACAGGGGGGGAACAGGGGGTTAGCATGGGAGAAGCAAGGGGCTAGAAGGGAGGGAACAGGGGGTTAGCATGGGAGAAGCAAGGGGCTAAAAGGGAGGGAACAGGGGGTTAGCATGGGAGAAAGGGGGGAAAGGAGGGGGATCAAGGGGGGAAAGGAGGGGAAGCAAGGGGGGAAAGGAGGGGGAGCAGGGAGGGAAAGGAGGGGAAGCAAGGGGGCAAAGGAAGGGAAGGAGGGGGGGAGAGGAGGGGAAGCATGGGGGGAAAGGAGGCGAAGGAAGTGGGGAAAGGAGGGGAAACAGGGGGGAAAGGAGGGGAAGGAAGGGGGGAAAGGAGGGGAAACAGGGGGGGAAGGGGAAGCAAGGGGGGAACGGAGGGGAAGCAAGGGAGGAAAGGAGGGGGAGCAGAGAGGGAAAGGAGGGGAAGCAAGGGGGCAAAGGAGGGGAAGCAAGGGGGCAAAGGAGGGGAAGCAGGGGGGAAAGGAGGGGAGGCAATGGAGAAAAGGAGGGGAAGCAGGGGGGGAAAGGAGGGGAATTAGGGGGGGAAGGGAGGGGAAGCATGGGGGGGGAAGGAGGGGAAGCAAGGGTGGAAATGAGGCGACGGAAGGGGAGAAAGGAGGGGAATCATGGGAATTCGCGCCTCATCCCCTTCCGCGCCTCATCCCCTTCCTCGTCATCCCCTTCCGCGCCTCATCCCCTTTCGCCCCTCATCCCCTTCCGCGCGTCATAAATTTCCGTGCCTCATCCCCTTCCGCGCGTTATACCCTTCCGCGCGTTATCTCCTTCCGTGCCTTATTTCGCTCTGTCCGTGAGCAGCGCACGCCTGCGTGATGAGGAGCGGCAGCGCGCCAATGTGCCTGCCGCATATCACGTCACAAGCGGAGCATCTCTCCTGTCGCGCGCAAAGGCCCCGTTTTTCTCCCCCCTTTTCCCCATTCCACCCCCAGTATCTGCTCCTCCTCTCCTCCACCGTCTGGCGTTGCGTCTGCCGCAAGTTGCGCCAGTGGACAGCTCTCCCATCGCGCGATCAGAACCGATTTCCCCCGCCGACGCAGTCTTTTTTCCGCCTCTCCCCTCCCTCTCCGCCTTCCGCAGTCGCCGTGTCGAGTCGCCTCAGTACTCCCATATCGCGCTGTTTCGCGCTCTTCTCAACGCTCCTTTCATCGACCACGCATGTACCGTATTCTCCCGGATAAAACACCCCCCCGTAATTGTACACCCCCGGGTAGCTTATACGGGGTGGGTGTTATATCCGACCCCGTTAGTACTATACCCCCCTTTTTGGGGTGATTCTCTATAACACCCCCCTTTTCTTATAAATTCCTATTATAGCTGTTATCGAGTCCGATTCCTTACGGGAGGATATCGCGAAAATCACTCCCTAGAAGAAATTTCGCATGTACTTTCACTTAGAATCAGCCGAGATATCCCCCCTCCCACAATCTCGCTGTCGCCACGCTGGTGAATCCCAAAATCTCGCTGTCGCCACGCTGGTGAATCCCAAAATCTCGCTGTCGCCACGCTGGCGAATCTTCCACTGCAAGTGGTCCAAGAGGTGAAGTGGCCCAAGTGGCCCAAGTGGCCCACAATATCCTCGTACTCAGTTTTGCGGCATTGATCAACAATCTTGAAGTGAAGTCAGACCCCTGATTTTGTTTCACATCTATTCTGTTTTTCTTTTTAAATATACCATATCATAAGACCCGGGTATTATATAGGATTTTCCTTTGAGGAGACCCCCCCCATTTTTTTCCAGTGGTTTTCATAATACCCTAGGGTGTTTTATCCGGGAGAATACGGTACATGTTCTGGCACGTCACCTACGGTACGTTAAATATTTCTGTTGTTGTTAGCTACTGCGGTTATGTCACACGCGAAGTGGTTAGCTTGTTTGACCGTGGTTTTTCTTCTGAGGGGGTTGGTGCTTTCCGTTTCGTTCTTGCTGGTGGTAATTGGATTGTGCGAGGACATTCTCCCCTACTTGAACCTGATTGGCTGAAGAACAATCCTAGCGACACTCATTCCAGTCGCAGCGCAGATCTTTGCGTCACGTTTGGCGAGACCCCTTTCCCCCTCGTCAACCCATCCCTTTCTCGCTACACTGACTTTGCCGAAATTCTTGTTTTCAAGGTTTCTCCAACACTACCGTATTTCAAACCCACATAACTTGATATTTTACCATGCTGGCCTCGGGCTTTAAGTAAGCTAAGGCTACTGTGATAATCATACAGCTCATATAACACCATTTGGTAAAGCCCTGTCTACCAACAACCACACCGGCACCACACTCTGGAAAATAAGCAGTGGAGCCAAGAGACTTGAAGTGGGGGGGGGGTCACTATTTTAGCTGCTGGCTTTAACCCACCCAGGCAAGCCAGGCCACCTGTTTTCCGCCAAGGCGTGCCTGGCAAGCAGGTACACAACAGCTACATCATGTACGGTGCGATGCGAACAAACACTAGGAGCTATGCACAGAGATTAAAATCGGTGCAGAAAAGAAAATACTTTATAGCAAACAACAAAAAATACAAAGTTCAAGCGCCCAAACACATGTAGGTACTGCATTTCCTAAAGAAAATATGGTAGACATGTAGACCCCAATGACATGTAGACATGTCTACTTGTCTACTTGTTGAGTGCCAAGCTGAGAGACGCGGAGGGGCTTTGACTGCCAGGGGAGCGGGCCTTGGCCGTGGCTCGACTGACGCGTGTGTTTCCACTTCCCACTGCTGCCTCACTGGTTGCAGCTGACACCGATGGACTGTAGCAGGAAAAACCAGGAGATTCAGGGTGTGAAGAGGGAATTAGTACAGTGCAATGTTAAAACCACGGGGATTTTCACGCTGGGTGAGAGGCACAGCACTGGCACAGAACAAACAACACGACCGTTGCAGCTGATTCATCGCAGCTACACCTGCGGAGAAGCAAGCACTAGTCACTCACATGTTGGTGCCGGTGGTGCCTGCAGCTCTGGTCTTGCCTGAGACCACAACACTGGGAGGGCGAATGCCACTGCGAGGGCTGCCACCCCTTGCTGCTGGAGGTCCCTCTGCACCCTTGTCACCCCCCTTGTCACCTGCTGCCGTGCTAGCAGGAGCAGCAGAAGCAGCACTGGGGGTGGGGATGTTACTGGGGCTAGCAGCACGGGGACTGGCAGGGCGAGCGGAGGAAGTCGAGGCAGACTTGGAAATGCGGGGAGTGGAGGGGAGGGAGGAGGCAGGGGTGGATGAGGGAGAGGGCAGCCTGGGTGCTGAAGAGGAGGAAGAGGTGGTGGTGGTGGTGGTGGAGCCAGCCGAATCGCGGTTCGACTGCACACGACGCACCACCACCACCTTGCGTGTCACAGTGGTGCGATCAGGCGCAGGCAGTGACGGGGACGCTGGCTCCTTGCTCGCCTGCCAACACACACACAGCACAGCACAGCACAGCAAAGAACAGCACCAAGAGTTCATCAAGCAGTGGTTCATTATGGCACAGAGTGCCTGCATCTGCACGGTTTTTGGCACATGCTGTTGGGATAGGGAGAAAGAGGCTTTCGAGAGAGACTCATACCTTCCGTCGCACAGTGCTGGCGCTGTTGCTACTGCTGCTGTAGCTCGGGCTGCCTCCTGAACCACTGCCGCTACCGCTGCTCCCAACAGCAGCACCAGCGCTACCCTTGCCAGACGCGGCAGCAGCAGCCGCAGCACTGGAAGCAGCACCCAGCAGCGCCGCAAGATTCCCATTCTGCTGCTGCTGCAGCGCCGCAGCTGCCGCTTCTGCCGCTGCCGCAGCCGCCTCGGCAGCAGCCGTGGCAGCAGCAGCCTCCACCTGCAGCCTCTCCACCTCTGCCTCTAACTCCACCACCTGCACGCGCATCTCCCCTATGCGCCGCTCTGCTGCTGCCTGCCCTTCCATCTTTGCTGCTACCACCTCTTCCGCCGCCTCCTGCTTCAGCCGCCACTCTGCCTTCTGCCTCTCTGCTTCGACCTGCACCTCTGCTATGCGTGCCTCCAGGTCCTTGATCCGCCGCTCCCTCTCCTCCACCTCCGCCTGCTTCGCCGCCACCTCGGCCTGCTTTGCTGCTAGTTCCGCCTGCTTTGCAGCGATCTCTGCCCTGGCGTCCTCTAGCTGTGCGGCCAGCACTGCACCCTCCTCCACCTGCCTCTCCAGCTCCTCCACCTTGCAGTGCAGAGACTCCAAGAATTGCTCCGCCTGCTTCCTATCCACCAGCCCACCACTCGCCGCACCTCCTCCCGCCCCAGGTGCAGCACCCGTTCCCTCCTCACCACCTGCCTGTCCCTCACCTGCGTCCCCATCAGCAGCAGCGCCAGCAGCAGCAGCGGCGGCAGCCACGCCTTGCACGAGCAGGTCGGCCTGCTGCTGCAGGCGCATGCGGTCGCACTCCCGCGCCTTCTCACTCAGCACCGCAGCATGGCTCGCCAGCCCGCGCTTCTCCCTCTCAGCAGCCAGCATCGCCCTCTCCAGCGCCTCATTCACGCCCCGCGCCTCCCCCAGCAGATTCTCAATCGCCGCCTTCTCCTCCTTCAACCGCTGCACCTCGAAGGAGAGTTCCTGTAGGAGCACCGCTTCCCCACGGGCTACTTCCAGCTCTGCTGCAAGACCCACCTCGCGCGCGCGCCACTGGGTGCGCTCCGCCTGCAGGCTCTGCACTTTTCCCTCCAGCTCCCGCATCTCCGCCTCCCACCGCGCCTCCGCCGCCGCCGCGCCCGCCTCCGCGGCGCGCAGCCGCCCCTCCAGCGCCACGCGCGCCGCCTGCTCCTCCGCCAGCGCCGCCGCCGTGCGCTCGATCCCGCTGCGCCCGCTCAGCAGCGCCTGCAGCTGCTCCTTCAGCACCAGCACCTCCGTCTGAAGCTGCTCCGTCGCCACCTCTTTCTCCGCGCGCTCCCTCTTGACTGCCTCTTCCAGGCGCGTCACTCTCACCACGCCTTCTTCCTTCTCCGCTAGGACCTGCTCCAGTCGCTGGAACAGCTTCCTTTCCATGTCGCGCATCTCCCCCGCCTCGCGCGCTGCGCGCTCGCGCACGCTGCGCAACTCGCCTTCTAGCATTTCCGCGCGGTCCGCGGCTGCCTGCCGCAGCTCCTCCTCGCGCCGCACTGTTTCCTGCAGGCGTCCGCGGAGGGCCTCCATGGCCGCCGCCTTCTCCTCCGCCGCGCGCCTGCCCTCGCGCTCCAGCTCCGCGTCGCGCTGCGCCTCCGCCACCACCGCCGCCGCGTCCGCCGCGCTGCGCCCGCGGCCCTCCGCGGCCACGTTCAGCTCCGCTACGCGCGCCTCCTGCGCCGTGATCTGCTGCTCCAGCGCGGCCCTCGCGGCGACTGCTTCCGCCAGCTCCGCGTCCGCGCGCGCCCGCTCGCTGCCCGCGCGGCGCAGCGCCTCCTCGAGCTGCTGCACCATCCCCGCCGCTGCCGCCTTGCTCTCGCGGCTCTCCCGCACCTCCACCTCCTGCGCCGCCGCGCGCGCCGTCGCGATGCTCACGCGCGCCGCCAGCCGCCCCATTTCCTCCTCCGCCGCCTTGGCGCGCATGCGCGCCTCCCCCGCCTCGCGCCCCAGCTCCGAAATCCGCCCCTCGCGCGCGCGCTTCTCCGTCTCGAGCACGCGGAGATCGCGCTCGAGCCCCTCCGCGCGCACGCGCCACACCGCCACCTCCTCCTGCAGCTGCACCACCTCCTTGCTGCGCGCGCCTTCCGCGGCCGACTCGCGCGTTGCCTTGACTTGCGCCGCCGTCGCCTCCTGCAGCAGCTCGCGCAGCGACGCGAGCTGCAGCTCCAGCTCCTCCACGCGCACCGCCGCATCTACCTGACCTTTGAACTTCTTCGCCGCGCCTACTAGCCCCTTGGGCAGCGCCGTCTTACCCGCTGCGCTCGCTCCTCCTGCTGCTGCTGCTCCGGAAGAATCCGCCGGGTTCGCTGCCGCGACGGCGACTGTAGTCGCCACGGCCACTGCTTCCGCCGCCTCCTCCGCCTCCTCCGCTTCTTCCGCCAGCAGGTGCAGCTGCGCCGCTAGCGATGCCGCCGACTCCTCCGCGCGCTCCCGCATGCTCACCTCCTCCGCCATGCGCACCGCCAACTGCTGCCGCTCCTCATCCGCCGCCTCGCACCGCCTCTGCAGCGCCGCGAGCTGGCTCCCCCGCGCCGCCACCTCGCTCTCCAGCTCCGCGCGCTGCTCCGCCGCCCTCTCCACCTCCCGCTGCATCCTAGCGGCTTCCGCCCGCAGCGCCGCCGCCTCCTCCTCCGCCTCCGCCGCCACCTTCGCGGCGGACGCTTCCGCAGCCGCCAGGCATCCGCGCAGCCGCTCCACCTCAGCAGACGCGTTGATGACGTCGGCCTTGCGCTTGTCCAGCTCATCGCTGAGCTCAGCCACGTGCGCATTGAGCCGCGCAATGCTCTCCTGCTCCCGCTGCTGCTTCTTCGCGCGCAGCTCCTTCCACTTGCCCACCAGCCCGCCCCCGCCTAGCTTCCTTCCCCCATCCGCACCAGCACCAGCACCAGAGCCAGCGCCATTGCTCCCCAAGCCCCCTGCCTCCGCGACGTCCGCTGACTCCGCCGGTTCCGCCGTTTCCGCCGGTTCCGCGGGTTCCACCCCCGTGGCGCGGATAATTTCCTCCATCGCGCCCTCCAGCTCCTTAATTCGCGCCTCCTTGCCCTCCGCGTCGCGCTTCGCGGCCGTCAAACTCGCCGCGAGCTCCAGGCTTTCCGCCGTCAGCTCCTGCGCCTCCTTCTCCGCCTCCGCCAGCTTCCGCTGCAGCTGCTCCACGCGGCTCGACTCGCACTCCGCCGCCGCCGCGGCCGGAGGGAGCGGCAACGGCGGGCCGCAGAATGCGCTAGTAGTGATGAGAGGAGTGGGAGTGGTACTGCCGCAGGAAGACGCGGCAGCAGACGCAGGAGGGGAGAGGCCTGGGGAGCGCGTCGCGGTGGCAGCAGCGCCATCACCACCATCCGCACCGGCGCATCCGCCAGCTGCAGCCGCCGCAGCCCCTTCCGCGCCCGTCGCTGCTTCTCCACCCTCCTCCCCGCCACCCGCCCCTCTTCCCGTTTCCGCTGGCCCCTCCGCGGTGCTCCGTCCGCCGCCCCTCAACGAATCCGCCCGCCAGTCGCCCTCCAGCTGCGCGAGGCGCGCCTCGAGCTGGTTGTGCGCGTCGACCGCCTTGCGCATGCGCTCGCGCCAGTCCGCCTCCAGCTTGCGCATGCGCTCGCGCCACTCCGCCTCGCGCTCGTCCGTCTGCCGCTGCGCGCGCTTGCCCGCCTGCTCGCGCGCCTGCTCGCGCTCGTACAGGTCCTGCGCGTCCCGCCGGTACTTGTCCGCGTCCGCTTCCGCGCGCTGCAGCGCCTTGGCCAGCTCCTCATTGGCGGACTGGGGGGCGGGAAGAGGGGAGGGGGAGGGGGAGTGGGAGGGGGAGGGGAATGAGTACAAGGTTATCATGTAAGCGGAGAAGTGGTGGGGTCAGTAGGCAGGAGGAACGAACTAACATGCGATGGGCGCAGGTGAGCAGGAAGTTGATGTTAGAAATAAACTAGACGAGGGTTGAGAGGAAGTGAAGAGTCAACTGCGCTGGTCCCGTCATAACCGTCCCATCCCATCCCATGTCCGCCCATCTGTACCGAGAGCATTTCCACTTCCGATCTGAGTTGCGCGTTCAGCTCCGTGTGGTACTCCAGATCGCGCATCACCATCAGCACCGACGTGCCTCCGCCGACCCCCGCGCCTCCCGCCACCGCCTCCGCCTCGCTCTGCGCCACCTTCAGGATCGCCACCTGCTTCGCCAGCGAGTCGCGCTCGCTCATCACCGCCGCCAACTGCGCCTCCGCCGCACGGTCCGCCACCAGCGACTCCGCCAGCTGCGCGCGCAGCGCCTCCACCTCGCGGAGCAACGCGCGCGAGGTCTGCTGCTGCGCCGTGCAGTCGCGCTGAAGCCCCTCGATCGCCGCCTCCGCCGCGACCAGGTCCGCCTGCAGCTCTCCGGCCCCGCCGCCGCTGCTGCTCCTTCCGCGCTCCCGCGCCGCCAGCGCAGCCGGCGGAGCCAAGGCCGCAGAAGGCCCGCCGCCGAGCGCCGCAGCAAAGCCGGGTCGAATGCCGGTTCCGGGGAGGAAAAGCGCGGAGGTGGATGCGCTGACGCTAATTCCGCTTTCGTGCAGCCCTCCCGCTCCCGCTCCCCCCGCCGCAGTTGCGCCTTTTCCGCCGGGTCCGCCCACGCCCGCGCGGGTGGCCTCAATGAGAACGTCCGACATGGAGTGGCGCAGCGGGTTCGCGCCGTCGTTCCCCACTCCGCCGCTGAGACTGCGGAGCGGGGTCCGGAACGCGCCGAAGCGCCCCCCCGTACCACCTACTGCTGCGCCGCCCAGGGTTGCTGGGAGCCCCGCGGAAGGTTCCGGCGCAGTAGAGGAGGCGGAGAGCAGGCAGGAAGTGGGAGACATGGCGCTGGCGGGAAGCGGAGGGAGATTGGGGGAGGATGGGGGGAAGAGCTTCAGCCCGACTCCGCGCATTCCCGCGGGTTTGAGCCCCGGGGATCGGTCCTTGTGCGCCGCCCCGAGGTTCCCCGTGCTGATGCTGTCGTGAAGTCCGCCTGCGGCAGGGTGCGCGGGGTACCCCGCGCCCGGAATGAACCTTCCGCCTCCGCCCACCTCCATGGGTCCGCTCGCCACGCTGCGGTGATACGGGTCCCCCACCAGCGCGGGGTTCGGCGGCCGGCGGAGCTCCCCCGAGAACGACACTAGCGGCGGAAGCTCCTCGTCCTCCCCCAGTGTGCTCTCTGCCTTCCCCGCGGAAGGCTCCGCGCCCTTGGTGCTCGCGGGCGCGGGGGAAGCGGCAGCGGGGAGCGCGATGGGCGGAGGGAGAGAGCCGGCGGCAGGGGAGCCCCTGGCGGCTGCGGAGGTGGCGGGTGATCGATCGAAGGAGAAGAAGCCGGAGCGGGTGCGGGCGGAGGGGGGGGATTTCATGGGCGCAAGAGCGGGGGACGCGCTCATGGCAGGGCTAGCGATCCCGGCCGCGCCAGCAGCGCCGGCAGCGGCAGCAGGAGCTGGGGCGTCCCCCGCGTCTCCCTTTGCGGGGTCGCCGGCGGTTTCCGCCGCCTTTGCGCTGCTCTCACCTCCCGCGGTAGCGCATATGGCGCCCGTCGCGGCGGGGGAGGACGCACCCTTCCCCGCGCCAACCCCCTCCATGAGGGACGCGGAGCGGCGGAAGAGCTTCGCGGCGGCTGCGCCGGCAGCAGAGGCCGTGGCGACGACGCCGCCGCCGCTGCCACCGCCGCTGCTGCTGCTGCTGGCAGGGGCGGGAGCGGTTGGAGCAGGCGCCGTGGCGGAAGTATCGGTGGTGTCGGTGGGCTTGCTACGCGCCTTGGGGCGATGATCGGGGAGCTGCGTTGCGAGGGAGCGCGGAGACGAGAGGAAGAGAGGGAGAGAGGGAGAGGGAGAGAGAATGAAGAGAGGGTGAGGGAGTGAGGTAGTGAGGTAGTGAGGCGAGGAGGAAGTAAAGCAGGAGAGGCAAGAATAGCCTAGAACTAGCGAAGGGAGCATTCAACGGAACGCGGCGAGATATTGCTGGCAGTGAGCAACGAGGAGAAGGGACAAGGAAGATGGGCGAGGACAAGGGCGAGGGAGGGGGGAAATTACCGCAAGGCGGTAGATGAAGCTCGCTGCCTTGCCCGCCGTGCTCCCGCTGCCGCTGCCACTGCCGCTGTTGCTGCTGTTGCTGCTGCCGGCACTCAGGCCAGTGCTCCCGCCAGCGCCGCTACTGGCGCTGCTGCTGCCGCTACTGCTGCTGGCGCCTCCCTCGCTGGGCACGCTGCTGCTGCTGGCGCTGGTAACGCTGGCGCCCTCTGCACTCTCCGCGCAGCTCCCCTCAGTCGCGCCGCAAGACGACACCGCCTCCTTGTCCGCCACCGCCGCCTGCTGTTGCGCCTCAACCGCGCTGTCGGAAGGTTCCGCTTCTGCCGCCGCTGGCGCGGGGTCAACCGCGCCTGCATCGGCGCTGCTGCTGCTTCCGCCAGCCGCCGCCTCCGCAAGCTCTTCCGCCGGTGGCGCGGCGCTCGGCTGCGCGGCAATGGGCTGCGCAGCGCACTGCTGCGCGGCGCTGGGCTGCTCCGCACCCGCTTCTTTCTCCGCACCTTCCCCTTGGGGCGCGGGCACTGCAGGCTCCGCCTTGCGCGCGCTGTCACCTGCGGGTTCCGCGTCCTCGCCATAGTACTCATCGTCATAGCTATAGTCGCCTTCGTCCCCCTCCGCCTGCGTGCTGCCGGCCGGGGTTTGCTCGTCTGCCGTCTCTTCCTCCTCACGCGGGTCTAGCGGGAAGCTTTGCAACGTAGCCTGCACATGGGAATGTGAAGGGGTACGACGGGAGAGCTTAGTGCCAAGTGACGTTGACGGGAGGTGGATATTGAATAAGGGGAACCTACGTTCGGCGACGCGAGCGAACGGAAGCGATCAAGGGAAATGAGAAGGCATGGGCGGCGGAGCGGGGTGGGGGGGAAAGGTGGGGGAGATTGGGGAAGGAGCAGCGAGCGCGGGGTGGTGCGCGAGCACGTACGTGGAGGACGGAGCCGGCGGCGAGCGGAAGCGCACGCTGGTCGAGCTGGCGGTACTTGATAAAGTCCACGAGATTCAACGTCGCCTCGCCCAACACCGTGCCCCACGTGCCGCCCTGCCGCGCTCCAACGCACACGCACACACATACAGCAGACGAGGTGCAAAAACGCAGCAAGGGACACGGGGAGACCATACAACGCGATAAGCCCATTGTTGTTGCAAACTATGAAAGATCTCAGCCAGTTTTTCGTGGCAGAAAGGAGTAATGGAGCTTAACGGTAACGAACCAGGTAGTGCGCAGGCACATGCGGAGGGTACGGCGGGTACGGCCTGAGGATATGGCAAGGGTAAAGAAAGGATCACTCACGGTGGAGACGACGAAGCGGTACGCCTTGGGCTCGTACGCCTTGGTCTTGGGGTTGCGCGCGATCTTGACGACATGCGTGACCGTCTCGGGCCACTGGCATATGCCGTTGCGCACCGCCGACTTGGTCGTCTGCGCCTCTGTGCGCCCCGAGTCGCACGATATCACCGACACGCACAGCTGGTCGTAACCTGACAGGGGGATCTGGTGGATGCGCGGCGGGATGAGCGGCGGGAGCAAAATGCACGACATGGGAAGCAAGGAAGGGAAGAACGGGCGGTCAGGACAAGCAGGGGGAAGTAGAGGCTAGGAATGCCTGCTGCATTAGTTAAAGGCATCATTGCCAGTTGCAGCGCAAGTACGTGAGGACTTGGATAATACGTTTTTTAACCTAATCCAGTGGAAGCTGCGTCGCGAAAGTGAGGGAGCTGACGAGAACCATGTCGGCATGAACTCACACGAGTGGCGTGGAACCTAAAGCGGAACTCGAACTTCTCCTTGACGCGTCCTCGCAGCCCTTTGAACATGGAGCCTTGCAGCATGAGCGGCCGCAAGGGCTCCGTGAGGTTCGCTACCATGGCTGCCGCTCAACCCCTCACTGCAAAAGGCGGATCCAACGCTGCTTCTATTCTCACTACCTCGTCGCCTACTTGGCGCGCTTCTCGAGACTGCTCCTAATGTTGGAAGTTCCTAAGCATGCACTCATTGCATTTGCGGATTGCCCATAACGCCGTGGAGACTGCAGTGTGGATGTTACCAGGGCTGATTCTTGTGAAGGACCACTCTACATGTGCCAAGGGGAATGGGACGAGTGTAAGCAAGGCCCTGGCGTGTCGGGGAATGCTGAGCCTTGACTGAGTCTTACGCATGAAGTAACGAGGCGCAAGCACAAGTAGTTTCTGTGCGATGTTGTTGGGCTGGGAGGGAGTAGCGGCAGACCATTGTGGTGGTGGAGGGAGGGGATGGCAGCGGAGGGAGCTCACAATTTGCCACGACGGCTACCATCGCGATTCGGGTCGTTTCTTGCTGTTGCGCTGCCAGAGCACCTTTGCTGAAAATGCCAATGTGAGTAGCCAATTAGGAAAACACTTAGTCGAAACTCCCTGCCAGCCCACACAAAGTGGCAAGAACTACACTTGCTTTTAGAGACACCGAGTCGGCCTGCCTTTTCACGAGGCGCCGTGTCACGTACAAATCAAGGCCGTAAGCGGCGATCTGGGGGGACACGCGCTCGTGTACTGTGGTTTCGTGGGTGTTCGTTCTGTGTAACGCAATTCGTTCAAGTTGGGTTAGCTGAGCGTTACTTGAAGGTCTCAAAACTCAAGTCAGTAGAAGTCTGGAGCCAGAATATCATAAATCGAGTAGCTTCATCAACCATATCGAGTACAAATCGAGGTGTCAGATGTGGCTTTCGCGCGACATCATCTGACGACAAGACCGCGAAGCCATTCGGATCCACCAATCACCGCATCGGGCCAAGAGTGCAAGCCAATCATAGAAAGGCAAGTCATGTCTGGTGTGTGAAGCCCTTCTAGGATGTTTCCCTCTCACCAGAAGCAGGACAGACATCGGTCTCACCCGCGCGTCGCATGTCGGGCGGTCTGGTGTAGGTCATTCGCCTTTGACGTGAATGTCCGCCGTGACCGAAGGAAGCAATCGTTCACTTCGCACAGGGCCACTTCTCCTGTCCTGGCCTTGCGGTCGCACGCGCCACTGCTCGCTCTGCCTCTCAAATTCCTCTCTTGGCCTCAGGAGTTGCTAGCATCGAGAATTTCTGGCCTTGTTTGAAACCTTGAAACACAGCCCACTGCGATCGAAGATCCTCAAATACTTGATACCAGCACAATTCCTTCTATCTTAGGGACAGAAGCTTTGAAGCCAGGTGCAATGGCGTGCCAAGTAATGGTGGGAGGGCGGATTATCCTATCAGCCTTGCTTGTCTTGTTTCTCCTCCAAATATCAGATGCAGCACCTGGAAATGCAGCCGATCGACCCCATCGAAAGGCTCCTCTTCGGAGGCTACTTCGCGAGATGCAACGGCGACTGGCAGAGGACGTAACTCCGTACGAGCCCTGCGCCATGCGCTACATGGACTACTCGCCGTGCGAGGATCCCAACCGCGCGAAGAGATTCATTAAAGCAAACCTCGCGCATCGCGAACGACACTGCCCGAAGAGCTCCGAGCAGCTGAACTGCCTCATCCCGCCGCCCGTCGGGTACAAGCGCCCGGTCCCCTGGCCGCAGAGCCGCGACGAGGCGTGGTACGTGAACGTGCCGCACAAGCAGTTGACGATGGCGAAGGCGGACCAGAACTGGATCCGGTACGACGAGCAGACGGAGAAGTTTTCGTTCCCTGGCGGCGGCACGATGTTCCACAAAGGCGCGGATCACTACCTGGAAGAGCTGGGCAAGCTCATTCCGCTCACGGATGGCTCCATTCGCACGGCGCTTGACACCGGTTGCGGGGTAAGAAACCGCTAGTCGCCGATCCCGCTCGACCCGTTCCATTCCTGAGCTGACTGCAAGCAGAACCGTCAGCAAGAACCGTGTTATCCACTCCTGATCGCTTTTATGGGCCCAACTGCCAGCTGAGCCCCGATGCGCGCTCTTTCCGCACCATGCGCCGTGTTTCTCGCAGGTGGGGAGCTTCGGCGCGTATTTGCTGAGCCGCGGCGTGCTGACCATGTCGCTGGCGCCGCGCGATGGGCACGAGGCGCAGGTGCAGTTCGCGCTGGAGCGAGGCCTGCCCGCCATGATCGGCGTGCTGGCCAGCAAGCGCCTGCCTTACCCCGCGCGCTCCTTCGACCTCGCGCACTGCTCGCGCTGCCTTATCCCGTGGTGGAACGAAGGTGCGCGCGATGGGGGGTGTCAGCACATGTAACGGGTACATTAGTAGGCGCGACGTGTACATGAGCAACAAGCCGCAAAGCGTTCCGTGTTTTTACTCGTCCGGCTGTGTACCTGGCAGGCTAGACTACATCACAGGCTTGCACCGATCCTAATTCATCCCCACTCCCGCTCGCCCCCCCCAGATGGGCGCCTTCTGGCGGAGATCGACCGCGTGCTGCGCCCCGGCGGGTTCTGGGTGCTGACGGGTCCGCCCATCGACTGGCAGCACTACGCGCGCGGGTGGAACCGCACCAAGGAGGACCTGTCGGCGGAGCAGGACCGGCTGGAGGCGGCGGCGGCGAAGATGTGCTGGCGCAAGTACAAGCAGGCGGGCATGTTCGCGATATGGCAGAAGCCTTTGGACGGCGCGTGCCAGAAGAGCCGCGGGGACTCGAGCCCGCCCATGTGCCCCGCGGACCAGGATGCGGACCTGTCGTGGTAGGGCGCCTGGCGGGGATGGCGTGGTTGGGGTTGGTGGTAGCGGGGCGGTTACCAGGTGACGGGGTGATGGTGATGAGGAGGAGGAAGAGGAGGATGGGATGTGAATTGAGAGATAGTGGGGTGGAGATGGTGGGGCATGAGCGCGATAGGCGGTACTTGCGGCTGGCTCGTTATCAGTTGGTGCAGCTCATTTCTGACTGCCGGTGGCTTCTCTTATTTCTGCGTCCTTCTGTCATGCCCTGCGCTTGGTGCATACCACGCTCTTCCTTCCCCAACCCACCCCCTCCCCCCTTCCATGCCCCACTTCTCCCGCCTGTTGCTCATCTCACTTCATCTCTCCGCTCGTCCCTCTCCCGTGTCGCGCCTTTCCTGTCCCCGCACCAGGTACACGCCCATGGCGACGTGTCTGACTCCTGTGCCCGCAGCAGACAGCAACGGCGTGGCGGGCGGCAGCGTGGACAAGTGGCCCGCCCGGCTCACCGCCACGCCGCCCCGCATTGCCCTTGGTCTGCTCTCAGGCAAGCCTGGCGTTGCTCTTGCTAGCAGCGCGGCTGCCTCTACCGCGGATGATGTGGAGGAACGTGCAGAGGAGGAGGCGCAGGAGAGTGCGGAGGAGGTTGCAGAGGGGGCGGCGGAGGAGGAGGGGGCCAGCGGAGATGATACGGAGAGCAAGGAGGCGGGTGAGGAGGAAAAGGCAGGGGTTGAAGAGGAGAAGGAGGGGGGAAGTGAGGAGGATAGCACGGAGGGTGAGGAGGAGAGCACGGGGGGAAGCGAGAAGGAGAGCAAAGAGGGAGGCGAGGAGGAGAGCAAGGAGACAAGCGAGGAGGAGGCAGATGAGGAGAGGGCAGAGCGGGCACAAGAGGAGAGCGGTGGTGGTGCTGTGATCAAAGAGGAGAGCAGCGAGGAAGAGGAAGGCAGTGAGGGCAAAGCTGAGGAAGGCAGTGAGGAGACAAGCGAGGAGAGAAGCGAGGGCAGTGCAGAGGGCGGTGACGAGGCAGGCGGGGAGGAAAGCAGTGAGGACGTACAGAGGCGGCGGCTGAAGGGGGAGAGTGAGGGCGGGGTTGTGGTGGAGGATCTGACAGTGGAGGACTTTGCAGCGGACTCTGACAAGTGGAGGCAGCGCGTGCGCTGGTACAAGCGCACCCTGCTGCCGGACCTAGGGCAGGAGGGCGGGCAGTACAGAAACATCATGGACATGAGCGCGGGCATGGGCGGGTTTGCGGCCGCGCTGGGGCATGATCCTGTGTGGGTGATGAATGTGGTGGCTGTGGACAGAGGGGACGCCTTTGGCGGGGATGCTGAAGGCTCGGAGGCACCAGCGCATGTGTCGTTTGGCGCGGCTAACTCCCTCGGGGTTATCTATGACCGCGGGCTGCTGGGAACGTACCAGGACTGGTATGTGCTTGAGTTTTTTAAAGCACCCTCGGCTTTCATCCACCCCGTGCCGTTTTTCGTATGTTGAGTCTACATGCTGTGCTGATGCCCTTGCCTTGCTCATCTATGTGCCGGTTGCCTAATGTGTTGCTGTTTCCTTTCTGTGTGGTGGTGGTGGCTCTGCAGGTGTGAAGCGTTCTCCACGTACCCCCGCACCTATGACCTCGTGCATGCCAACGAGCTCTTCTCCCAGTGGACTAGCAGGTGTGCCCCGTCTCACCCTGCTTCCTCACTCTGCTACCCTGCTACCTCAACTCTCTCATTCAGTCATCCTGCTGTATTTTTCATCTTCTTGCATCTCCTTCGCATTTCCAGCTTGATGACCGTTGGCCGAAGGCACGAATTCTCGTCCATCTCTCTCCATTCACAGTTTCCCTGTTCACAAATCCAGGCCGTGCCACCTGGAGCAGGTGCTGCTCTAGGTGGTCCGCAACCTGCCCTGCAACAAGAGTTCTTCTCACCCGCAAGAAACCTGCGAACGCCTTGTTCAGTCACCTCGAAAACCCTAAAACAATCTCTCTCCCCCCTTTCCTCGCACCATGATGACCCAGGCCGTGCCCAGTGGAGCAGGTGCTGCTGGAGGTGGACCGCATCCTGCGCCCTGAGGGAGTGGTGCTCATTCGCGATGACCTTGCCACACTGCGCCGCATCAAGCACATTGCGCCGGCACTGCGCTGGGACGCACGCATTGAGCGCCCCGGAAAGGAAGATTCCGTGGGCAAGGACGGCGACGAGGAGGTGGTGCTTGTGTGTACCAAAAAGTATTGGACGTCTGGTTAGACTGGCAGAGGTGGTTTGGAGTCATCTTAGATTGTGGTTTAGCTGTTTTTTTACTCTGGGGATATGTGGGCGGTGCAGACTTAACTAGCATCCAACTAGAATCTGTTGTTTCGTGTAAGGTGTCTTGTTCTTCCTGTGTGTAGATGCACCATTACTAGTTAAAAAGTAGGCTCTAAAAGTCATAGGGATGTGGCCCAGGAACTTGGAAAGAATGGAACCAAATAGATACTTGTCTCGAAATCGCGAAGACCAGTAACGCTGTCGCTTTCCTCGTTCACTCCAAACACAATTCGCATGACCCTTTTCCCACGCTTCACAGAAGAGGGGAAAGCCACCACATGATTGGTCGAAATAAGTGCTTCCAGATCTGGTGTCAGTTTTTGCGAGGCTGCTGCTGCTTGTCTCCTCCATCACACACCTCTGCTCTGATCAAACAATCACTTCTGTTCACACACTTGGTGACCTCTTGATTTTACTACGGAGTTTCTCGGGCGGATTGTGCGGGTGGATCGGCTGCTTTTCTCTCTAGTAGTGCCCGATTAGTTCGCTTAACGATGTCAGGCGTGCTCGCCTACGTGAGGGATAACTGGGATGTGGAAAGTGAACCCAGAGCGTACGAGCTTCTGTCGATTATAGTTTTCGCTTGCATCTTCCCGACACTCCGTTTCATTCTGGACAGACTCGTGTTTGAGGTACTTTCAGCATAAGGCTTTCGTTTCTAACTTATCACTAGACATTTGCGTTACTAACTTATCACTAAGCATTTGCGTTACTAACTTATCTTTCGCCGATGCAGAAAGTGGGCCGACGGTACATTCTTAGCCGAGGGGACTGGAGTAAGGGCAGTGGAACAGCCACAACCCTTGAAAAGTCGGAGAAACAAGCATTGCTAAAGACCCACATTAAATTCAAAGAATCATGCTGGAAGTGCATGTACTACATTTCCGCCGAGATATTTTCTGTGCTTATAACCCTGGGCGAGCCCTGGATGGAAGATATTAAGTACTACTGGGTGGGCCCTGGGGATCAGAAGTGGCCCGACCAAATGATGAAGTAAGGCTGGACGCGCATATCAGACTTGTGACTTCCAGATTTCCTCTGTCGTTGCTAATGTTTGCTTGATTGTGCAGGCTAAAGTTAAAAACGTTGTTTTGTTACGTCGGAGGATTCTACACGTACAGCGTTTTTGCGCTCATATTTTGGGAAACAAGACGGAAGGACTTCGGCGTGAGCATGACTCATCACGTGACTTGCGTAATCCTTGTCATTACCGCCTACATATTCAGGTATCAACACTCACAACCGTTGATTCTGTAGTCTGTTATTCTAATACTGGGCCACAAATCTACTTTTCCTAGAGTGAGAAGGACTATTTGCAGTTTAGCTCACTGTCCTTTGTTACTGTGATTGTCAGGTTCGGCCGTGTCTGTTCCTTGATGGTTGCGATCCATGATGCGAGCGACATCTTCCTCGAGCTCGCCAAGCTGAGCAAGTACATTGAATTCGAAACAAGCGCGACCATCAACTTTCTTATCTTTGCGGCATCTTGGGCATGGTTGAGGCTCTGGTGGTATCCTCGGTACATCATCTACAGTTCAAGGTAAGGAACTATCTACCACCATATCTCACCCCCGTGCGTGCATCCTCGGGCTAATGCATTTTATCTCCTGTCTGACAGCTACCAGGTGGTTCAGCTGCTGGACAAGATGGACCACGTGGAATATGGCCCGAAGACTTACTACTTCTTTAACTTCATTCTCGTTCTCCTGCTAGTACTTCACGTGTACTGGTGGATACTTATTGCCAAAGTTATTATCAGGCAGTTTGGATCAGGAGCAGTGGAAGATGGCAGATCTGGTGAGTACACTAATTTTACCTGTTCGGGTTACACATTGCGTCTGGCTCATTTCAGCCATAGCTGATGAGCGCCTTTCGTTCGTTACAGATGATGACGAAGACGACGACTAGACGCGAATCTATCGGTATACATGACAGAACTACGTCGCTCAGTTCAGATGAGTCTGCTTCTGCTGATGACGATGGAACCTAGGCTAGCAGTCGTGACCAAGAGAAACTTTGGCACGGTTTGTAGAGGGTTTTGCTCTATATTGTTCAGCATACTGGCCCGTGTTTGGTCAGCAGAATTCAGATTCTCTTACTTCTTGAGCCCTTTGATGTAGATGTATGAAACCTTCACTCTGCTTCCGCACTACTCAAACGTTACGTGTAGGGAGGTAACCCCGTGTGACGGTTGTGCTCGTTACCTCTGACCTTTGTTGGCACCCGTCACCTCTCTCCATCCTTTTATTGTCCCTCCCCTTCCTTTTTCCCTACAATCCCCTATCCTGGTTCGGGTCCTTTAATCTCTGTGCAACGCCTTTCTCTCCGCCCCCTCCCCCCCCCACTGACTCCATCCCCTCTTCAATCCACTTCTTCTTATGTCAATCGTTCTTTATTTGTCTCTTGCTTTTTTCTGCATCCCCCCCTTCCTTTCCCACACATTCCTCTTTCTCCAACTCCCCCTATTTTTTCGCACTCCTCTCCTCAGCTCCATCAACACTCCCCCACCCAACTCCTCTTCTCTCTGTCTCCAGCCCCCTCGCTGTTCACATATTTTTTCTCCAACTCCCTGTCTTCTCTTCGTCTCCGTCTATCCTCTCCATCTCTCCCTCTTCTGTCCGTCTTTGTTGTCTTCTCTCATGCTACCCCCTCTTTAATTTCAGCTCTTCATCTTGTAATTTCAGCTCTTCATCTTGGTGCCACTTCCCCCTCTTCTCTCCAACTCGCTTCCTTTTCCCCAACTCTGCCTCGACTTTTCAACATGATTTCTTTCCAGATCCCCCTCTCTACTCCATCCGTCCCCTCGTCCCTCTGTCTCCCCCTCCTCTCCCCATCATTTATCGTTCTCTTTGTCTAAGTTCCTTAGTATTCTCCAAGTTCCCTTTCGTTTCTGAGCCTTGCTTTTCAGAACCTCCCCTGCTGCTGAATCTTCTCGCTTATCTGCAACTGAACTGTTCCTCTTACCTTCCCCTCATCTTCTCTCCCCCCTCCCTCTCTCTCTCCCCTACCCACTCTCCCTCTCTCTCACGTTCTCTCTCCCCGCCTCTCTCTCTCTCTCTCTCTCTCTCTCTCTCTCGTTCACACACATTCTCTCCTGATCTCTCTACCTCCCCCGACTCTCCTTCGCTACAGAGCTTAGGGGGTTGTCCCTCTTCCTTTCGCTTCTGCTCTCTCACACCCTCCTCCCTCTTTCGACTTCCCAGATCCCTCTATTCCTAAACTTTGTAACTTGGATGGATAACCTGTGTTTGACAAATCACGTGCACCTGGTTTATAACCTTTCCTCAAACCCCCACTTGCCCCCCAACTTCTTTAACGTTAACTTCAATGGTAGAAGCAGTCAGCTGTTTCCAAATCCGGCAGTGGGTAAACGAAGGTACTGCATCCTTACCATATCCCTGTTCCACGTCAGCATTAAGGGTACATTCCGCTGTGGACACTGTCTCAAAGAAAGTGTCCCAATCGTATTTGTGACTAATTGTGACACTCCGAACAGAATGTTCGTGACTAATTGTGATAGGCTGTAGACAATGTTCGTGGCTAATCGTGATACCCATTCGTCACTAATTGTGAAACTTCGAACCATAAACAGTGACTACTTTGCCAGATGTCGTAACATTAGTGGTTGCATACTTCTGTTCATCCTTTTCTGCGTATAACAATTAGGGTACATTCCTGCCTTGACACTTGTGTCTCAATGCCTGGTTTCCCGAGTCGCGCCTGTAAATTTGCCTATCTACGCGTCACAAAAAAAAGGATGTACAGCGACATCGAGCGAGCGACTCAGAGTGTTGTACACCTGTCGACTTGCAATTGGACCCGCACCCAGGGCCTCAGATGTCAGGAATTTTACCCTGAATTCCTGAAGTTTGACCCTTGTTTTTTAGGGCGTGTTCCTGCGGCCTCTTATCAGGCGAACCTCTTGTCAGATTCGCGTCGCACCGCACTGAAACGCGCATAATAAAATTCGATCGCGTTGAATCGCATTGAACCGCACAAGTCTGACAAGAGGTCACCTGATAAGGGGCTGTAGGAACACGCCCTTATTGCGACCCTGATGGATCAGCCTTTTTTTTTTAGCGACCCTGATGGATCAGTGTTTTATTTTGTAGAACACTGAATTTTCAGTGTTTTGTGTTTGCAGACACTGACGAGTCAGTGTTGTATCGGGGTTGACCCTGAAACCGAAACTCCGTGCCCGCACCTTTTGACGCGAGCACTCTCATTTTGGCGCCGGGCAGGCAGGTTAAACCAGGGGTTCCAAACGATGATGGGGCGAGTTGGCGAAACCACCAACCACCACAGAGCCACAATGCACCTACAACTACAACTACAAACATAAAAACGCAAAGCATGCACAGCATGGCCCCCATTCAAATCAGCCATGGCAGAACCCAGGGCTGTTCCCTTCCTCATGCGACTCCTAGTCGCATGGATCTCGTTCTACTACGGCATCTTCATTGACGCGGTCGCCAAGGGGGTAGCTGGCTTGCTGGAGTCGCAAGTCTTCGACGACGAGAACACGTCTACCGCGACCTCTCACAGCTCCACCAGGTTCGCCGAGCGTGCAAGGAGAGGCAGCTTGAGGCGCCGGCGTTACGCGCTACTGCTCGAGGACCTGCAGGGAATGGGAGACGGGGAGTTTAGGGACATTTACCGAATTAATTGGGCGATTCTCGCCCACGTGGCCGAGGGCATGAAGCACTACATGCAGCCGTACGTGGACCGTTACTACATAACCCACGAGGTGGCAAACCTTGTGCCGATCAAGTACCTGGCGAGTGGACCCTCGTACATAGACCTTTCTCACCTATTCGGGTTGTCGAAGACATTGTGCCACGAGCTCGTCGATGTGTGGCTGATGCATTTCGCCACGGTCTTCAAACAACAGTGGGTGCACTTCCCCACCCGCGATGACCTTGACGAAATGGCCGAGGAGTTTCGCGCCGTGAAAGGGGTACCTGCGGTAGTGGGGGCTATTGATGGGACACACGTACACATAAAGGGGATGGAGGGGCACAGGCAAGAGTACTGGACACGCATCGTCGTCGTCGCTCTCCGCGTCGGAGTCGGACATGCCCTTGTCAGGCTCTTCTCCGGAGTCCGCGTCGTCGTCCGTACCGTATGCCTCCTCGTTGTAATCTGCATCGTCCTCGTCCTTGTCGTGTCAGAATCCCAACCACTAGACCATTGGGATAAAAGGGCTTGTTTGTGTAGCGGGTAAGTGCGCCCATAACCCCCCATGCCAACATGCTTGTAACCCTTCCCTAGGATCAATCGGGGATCACCAGTGGACCTCTGACACCCCCCCGCACTGGGATGCCCGAAGTGCACACTCTGGGATTCGAACCCGAGACCTTCGCTTTGATACCATGTCAGAATCCCAACCACTAGACCATTGGGATAAAAGGGCTTGTTTCTGTAACGGGTAAGTGCGCCCATAACCCCCCAGACCAACATGCTTGTAACCCTTCCCTAGGATCAATCGGGGATCACCAGTGGACCTCTGACACGTCGTACGTGGTAGCCTCGGGACTGCGCGAAGAAGCCACACGGTCGGCGTTACGGCGCCCGCGCGTCGGGACGTCACGGGGGGCCTGGTAAGAGGTGTCGCCACGTGAAGGAGTGTCCACTGGCTGCGGGCCGGTCGGCTTGCGCCCAGAGGACAGCTGCTTGTGCATCCAAGCAATATACGGGATCTCATTGAGATCCCGCGGGGTCACGTTGGCGGCTTCAGCGGCGCTCTTGCGCTTACGAGCCATGGCGTTGAGAGGGCTACTGAGCTTGCGAGTCCCAAAAACAAGAAACACAGAATGGACTACCAAGAAGATGGAATCGAAGTCATCCTTGGAGCAGGTTGGAGAGGAGGCTCTAGATTTGTGGTGGTTTCGTTGGGCAGCCTTGCGTGTATCAGAAAAAATGGTAACCCCTTTCGATGCTGCCCAGGGATGGCGGGTTTGTTTCCCGCGCTAAACTGTCAAGGGGTCCAGCGTCCAGGTGCATGCGGCAGGGCAGTGGAATTGCTTGACATTGATCGTGCGTGCGATTTCACGGCGGTGACGAGGCCTCGTCCAACTCGTCCGCGACACCGGCGCAAATGACGCTGACCAATGTAAAATAGGGTTACATTCGCATTAGGGCGACACGCGTTTGTGACATAGCAAGTTCTATGCTGTTTTTGAGCGTCACAATACATTTGAGACACAAGTGTCAAGGCAGGAATGTACCCTTAGTCACGAACATTGATTTAGTTGTGTCACAATTAGTAGCAAATACGATTGGGACACTTTCTTTGATACAGTGTCCACAGCGGAATGTACCCTAACTGCTGGACACCTGCAGTGACAATGCGCACTGATATTGAAACAAGCAGTATTACTGGTACAATTTATCCATACGGTACGGTACTAGGCAGGTGGATGCGTGACTTGTGGAAGAGGGATCTTGCGTGAAACCACAAGTACGTTGTTTCTAATTTGTACAGATTAGGGAGCTGGTATGCGTTATGGAAGAAGTTGAGATGGATGAGGTGGTAAGCAAGTGAAGATTACATGAGAGGAGGGGACAAGCCTCAGATTTCTACCATGATTTCAGACATGGCACAACATACCGTAGTCGTCACGGCCGTTGATTGTTGCTTGCGTCAACCAGGAAGACTACGGTAAGTATTATCTGCGTCTGACACATTGGGTAGCTTCCATGCTTCTGCTGCATTTGGTAGCATGGCTGTCATACCTAGTGCTATCGGTCTTTGTGATATGGTAGTAGCGGCATTATGGTTTGGGGTGTCGTGCTGCTGAAGTACGATGACCACTGCAGATCAGTACTTCCTGTGCATGTAGGCACTCCCCACTCGTTAGAGGGTTTTTGTCTGTCTTTACACCAGCTGCTTGTCACCAGTGTGCACA